TTTCAGAATAGCGGAGTCATTGTTATGTTAAATATAAATGAAAAATTAGCTTTATCTTCATCAATAAAAACAAACCTCATCTCAAATGATAATTTATAAGTACAAATGCAATCAAGGAAACATTTGTCAATAAATGTACATGTGATTTGTCCTTCATTAATTTATAAGTTATGCATATCACTTTTACCATAAAACTATTTATGTTTATTTATTTAATATCCGAATAAGTAAATATTTTAATTTTGAGACTAAGATATGTTTCAAGGTTCTATGAACATCAAAATTATTTATTTTGTAAAAATATTTCCTTTCTCTATTGGAACTGTACACGTATACCTAACAACAAAGTTATTTTCATTTACCTGTGTTTAAAATAATTGCAAATGGCTGATATTTTTGTTCGAGCACATTGTTTTTCTTAAATTGTTTAACATTTCATACCGATATAACATGTTATTCTTCCCTTAGTTTATTCATTTTGTATTTGCATTGTATCATAGGTCAAATTTTTTTGTTCATTGTAAGTTCATTGGTGTTAATATGTCCTTTGATTGAGTTAAGCTATTTCATTTGATATTTTATAGTGTGTCTTTCTATGTTGTGATGTTACACTATTGTTTCAGAAAAAGGTTGAAGGTTTGATACCATTAAAACGTTTAAACCCGCTGAATTTGTTTGCACCTGTCCTACATGTAAGTCAGGAATCTGATGTTCAGTAGTTGTCATTTGTTGATGTTGTTCATAAGTGTTTCTCGTTTTTTATATAGATTAGACCGTTGGTTTTCCCGTTTGAATGGTTTTACACTAGTAATTTTTGGGGCCCTTTATAGCTTACTGTTTGGTGTGAGCCAAGGTTCCGTGTTGAAGACCGTACTTTGACCTATAATGGTTTACTTTTTTAAATTTTTACTTGGATGGAGAGTTGTCTCATTGGCACTCATACCACATCTTCTTATATCTATATACGTTTGTTTCGGAAGTACCAAAACGACAGAACTTGTGTTCGATAATCCCTGTCATCCGTTTACGGGGTAACAGATATTGTTGAAAACCATATTTTGACCTTTAGATTTTTAAATAAAATAAGATCTATTTATAAAGACTAAAGGTCAAAGATGTCAACAGTTGAGATCATTGAATTTTGAGTTGGTTTTGTTCTATTGGGTTGCTGGCTCATTAACGTATATCCGACACCTCCTTTGATTCCAGTTTACATTGTTCTTTTAAAAAAAAATATCAAATAATTCTATCACTGATCAAATTAATTCCTCATGTCATTAACGGACCAAACTCTTGTTTCAGTTCTTAAAATACAGAGCGCATACAACATGCTACAACTACAGGTATTTAAACATTCAAAAAACGTGTTTATGATTTAGTATTCATATAATTGGCATACCCAAAAAAAACCTTCTGGCCACACACCACAATTAATTTGCCTATACATTCTTTGTAAAAATAATGACATATAAAATCTTTTACACCGCTTCAAACAATATGACATTTGCTCCACATGAAAATTATTCTTTTCTAAGAAAAATATCAAAATGCCAGAATTATCCATCACCACATGCGTCCATAACATCTCAATATACATTTATGACGTATATCGGGACATCGTATGTGTCTATGTTTTGCTATTATTCCGCGGTTGACATTGTATCGCAAAAATTTATACTAAAAGAACATTCCACATTTCGTTTAAATGTATTGTACAAAGCCATGAAACGAGAAGATTTAACTGCCCAACACAAGTTCCAAAACTACGAACAAATCCCGACGCGAAAATAACCCGATAAACAACAGTATTTTAATAGAGTGAGGTATGGCCGTTCTCGTCAAAACTATGTTTAAACCCTTTTTTCGAAAAAATTACACACTGAGAATTAAAAAAACCACACTGAGAAAAAAACCTAAAATAACACACTGAGAAACGAAATTACACACTGAGATTTAAAAAAAAATGAAAAACACACATTGAGAATTTAAAATTACACACTGAGATTTAAAAAAATGAAAAACACACACTGAGAATTCAAAATTACACACTGAGATTTTAAAAAGACACAATGAGATAAAATAAATTGAAAAACACACACTGAGAATTGTTAATTACACACTGAGATTTCAAAAATACACACTGAGATTAATATGCACATTACTAATGAATATTTATGAGATGAATAATTCAACAGATTAATATCTTGGTCTCCCGAACTCTTGTCACTATAATGAAATGCGGTTCCTTCAACCAACATTCGTAATACTTTTCAAGACTTAACATCGTTTTTTTTTAACTCGTATTCATAAATTCGTTGCCTATAATGCAGATTATTACTAACAGTGTATAGAGATTTTTTTGCTTAAAACTGTTTAAGCATGGGTCCCTTTTAAAAAGTCTTTCAACTGTTACCCTGATTTCGCAATTTAATCTTTTATATTTTTGTTACGTTTATATGCTATGATAGGCACTTGGGTAAAGAGTAAGTGAGTATTTTTCTTGTTCTATTGGTCTTTAATAACGTATTTTTTCTAATACGTTGTTTTTCTAATGTTTTTTATAAAACATTTGGCGCCAAATTGAAGGACTAACGAGTTCTGTCCCCTAGTTGATTTAAGCTTGTAATAGATTCAGATTAAGTATGCTAATTAGATATGTGCGCAATAAAAAATGCGCACAAATCTCAGTGTGTAATTTTAAATTCTCAGTGTGTAATTTCAAAATCTCAGTGAGTGTTTTTCAGTTTATTTCATCTCATGAAAATTACACACTGAGAATTCAAAAAGACACACTGAGATGAAATAAACTAAAAAACAGTGTGTCTTTTTGAAATCTCAGTGTGTAGTTTTCAATTCTCAGTGTGTAATTTTCAATTTTCAGTGTGTGTTTTTCATTTTTTGTAATCTCAGCGCGTCTTTATGAAATCTCAGTGTGTAATTTTTGTTCTCAGTGTGTGTTTTTAGGTTTTTTAATCTCAGTGTTTTTTTTTAATTTCGAAAAATGGTTTAAACATAGTTTTGACGAGAACGGCTTGCCATAGTAAGGTTATACAATTATGTAACTGCAACACTGATACTGAGCTGTTTAAAACAATTTTAACGCTCAGCTCTCTTTCATTGTAATTAATAGACGCGTGTGTATCTGACATTTGTAAGCCTTATTATTATTTTATAATTAATGGAAACAATGTGTACAGAACAGCTGTCTAGCATTTTTCATCGTGAAGCAGGATTCATGCAGAATGCTTAAGACCACAAGTAATTCCCTTTGCATGTTTGAATGAATTGTTAATTATACCCAACACTTTGAAAGTGAAAGCTGTTAATTGTCTTCAGTTCAAAGGTCAGTTTTTTTGTGTTTACTTTCATTTCGTTGATTAGGTGAACCAAAACAGGTAACGTTGGGTAAATTTGTATTCCACAACACCACAAGGAAAACTAATATGTACTGCAATTTAGTCACGGCTTTTTTCAGGGAAAAACAAATTGTAAGCTTAACAACTAACAATCAATCAATTTATTGGTTAATATGATTTTTAAATATACAAATAGTATGCTTGATATTTGACTTTGGTATTCAAAGAGATGAATCAAATCTGAACGTTAAGCAATCAACAATTAATCCTTCAATTTTCCGATTATCGATGGCTACTTGGTACAAAATTGATGCCTATTATTTATTTCTTTTTCAAATTCTTGCAAATATTTTTTTTATCTTTTTCAGTTGAATTGGATATACTTGGGAAACTTTACAAAGCTGTCGGGACAAAAGGCCAGACATATTATGCATGAAAGTAAAGGAAATAGATGGTGTTTAACACGACCCAATTCGTGGAAAAATTTCTTAAGAAGTTGATTGGAGAGGTCAAATCAAAGAAATAAGAAGAAAACTTATATTGCATTATTAATATAATTCTTTAATCCTATTACGTAGTAAGATTGTATGTAAACATCTGCTGTTTTAACAAATGAAAATTCAGTGATATTGTTTGAACATGAAACAAGGCAAGTAAATATATAATATAGTTTTAAAACAGTTTCATTATTGCTTTATTTTGTTTAAGTATATATGCCAATAAAGATTCATATTTACCAAAAAGAACTGTAAACATCAGAAGTTATGTTGTAAACATCAGAAGTTATGTAAACATCAGAAGTTATGTTGTAAACATCAGAAGTTATGTTGTAAACATCAGAAGTTATGTTGTAAACATCAGAAGTTATGTTGTAAACATCAGAAGTTATGTTCTGCTGCATTTTACAATATGTAAAAACTGTTTGATTTATAACGTGTTGTTTTCATTTTTTAAGGAGAAAATAGGTGCAAGATACTTGAGGGACAATCAAAAATCATCAGTCAAAGAGTGTCCTACAAAACCATGGCAAAAAAAAACGACATAATGGCAAGCAAGTCTACAAAATACTACATAGAAACCTAAACAATAAGCAATACGAATCCCACCAAAAAATCTCAGGGGCTGGGTAAACAGACCCTGCAAAAACAATGACGATGTCAGTGGCTTGGTAAGCAGACCCTGTCCCACTTGTGGCACACGTCGTGATGCTCTAGTGAGTACTAATTTTGTGAAATAACTATCGAGAAAAAGAGAAAATTGGAACATATACGTGGTCATCTCTGAAATAGATATTCCATAACATAACTAACCATAAGTATAGTATTAATATACTAAAACCGCAATTTTTATACGTGTGCATGCAAAACAAATTTCTTGGTAGAGGGGCCTAAATACAGCACAAACAACATTTTTCAAAAGACCAAAAAAGTGAAAAGTATATTTTAACAAAACGCATTTGACAATAATGCATTTGGACGGAACATATTTTACATTTTTTATTTGAGAAATTTTCTGATAATAGTATATGTAAACAGAGAAGTTACATCATTTTTATTCCTGTCTATTTATAAAACAAAATTTGACAAAATGTTTCCTAGAGCTAAAAGTTGTAATTGATTCTTAAATATTTTATCATTTAGTCGTATAATTCACCCCTCGGCTGCCAATTGCTTCAAAAAGGACAATGATATTAATGATCTTTCTCTTGATGTTTGTACCTGTTGACAGTCAGCCAGAGAAGTAAGTTGGCTTTTCATTTTAGTAAGTGTTTGTATCTCATTTATTCTAGTGATCTAGAGAATAAAGATTCTTTCGAAAATAGAAGGTTTGCTTCTTACATTAATCTTTTCCCTGATATTGACATAATGAACGACTTCACACTAGAATCTACAACGAAATTAAAGATTTCAACTTTCCAATAGTCAACTTCCTATTTTCGTAGTAGTAACATACCTTCTTCCCCATCGTAATTAGTGTTTACATATCCCTACAACACAACAGATTAATGAGGAAGAACAACACTACATACGTTTCACGGTTAACATCACAAATTGGTTGACTTATATACGATTTGTCTATGTTTCAACTCATTAAAGACATGTTTTCTTAGTCTTAGATCCTTACAAACCAGGAAAGTAGTAAGACTCGTAATTTTACTGATTGTGTTCTATTCTTGATTGTGAATTTTTGACTGATTGTGGATTTTTGACAGATTGTGAATTTCTGACTGATTGTGAATTTTTGACTGATTGTGGATTCGCATGGTGTGTGATGAAGCTGGAGACTCTTACCCTGTCGAACTCTTACGCTGTCGAAGCTGCAGACTCTTACCCTGTCGAAGCTGGAGACTCTTACCCTGTCGAAGCTGAAACTCTTACCTTGTCGAAGCAGGAGACTCTTACCCTGTCGAAGCAGCTGGAGACTCTTACACTGTCGAAGCTGGAGACTCTTACCCTATCGTAGCAGGAGACTCTTACCCTGTCGAAGCAGCTGGAGACTCTTACCCTGTCGAAGCTGGAGACTCTTACCCTGTCGAATCTGGAGACTCTTACACTGTCGAAGCAGCTGGAGACTCTTATCCTGTCGAAGCTGAAACTCTTACCCTGTCGAAGCAGGAGACTCCTACCCTATCGTAGCAGTCTTTTATTAATTAAAACAGAGTGGAATCACATTCGACCGTTGTGCTACAGTGTCTAACCTATATCATTCAATGCATTTATCGATAAAAAAAACAAATTTTGAACACTTGAAAAGTTTTAAAAATTTAGAAAATAAAAGCGTCAAATGTGGTTCTAATCAGTCCTCTTCAATTTATCTGAGTTTTTACATTCAAATATATTTTGTATCATGAACCACCAAGCATATATCATATAAAATAACCAAAATTTAAATAATTTTAGCTGTACTTACTTAATGACAGTCCCAAAGGTAACAAGACCAGGAACAGAAATTGATATTTGTATCACAATGTGGACGAAAGGATCGGTAATGTCAGTATAGCTGCTGCACTGAGAAATAACAATGGAAAAACAATTTCTGGAATTTCAAAGACATATGCAGGGATATCAGGTACGAGTTAATAGTACAATCAGAATAAATGTATGCTTAATATGTAACGAAACTTGTTTAAAAGATTATGACGTGATCTAATACATTGGAAGCAATATTTGACGGGTTTGATACTCAAATCTGCAAATTATTTTTAATTTACGTAATGCATAATTGTCGTCAATAATACACTTTTTGATTATATACCTTAAATACAATTTTCAAGTTGCGCATGTCGAGTAAGCGTTTATTATACAAATAGAATACGAAATGCAATCAATTAAAATAAAGTACATAAACACAATAATACGTTGAGAGACGAAACCGTTGCCGAAGATAAGTGTCACTTGAAATTTTGTAAACATAAATTAACAACAATTATCTAAAAAACATAATTTCAAGTATGTTTTCTTGTTTGTCTGAATGAATTTGATTTGAAAGGGTAAGTAGTTCCTACCAAACTAGCGGTTCACTGTCTCATTGATCATATCAGAATATGTTCGCGGTCATTTTAACCCATATATTCCATAAAGGTCAACCAACTAATGATGGAGTCCATTGAAGGGATAAATTCAACTCTACTTTAAAAAAAAACCCTAGGTTAAATATTTTCATTGTGAGCAACAAAGTCATACCAAAGAGGTCGTGATAAGAAATGCAAGCCCTGGAATACCTTATCAGATATATATATATATATATATATATATATATATATGTCATATGCAAGTTCCGCTTGAATGTTGCTACAAATTGAAGGCTCACAAGGGGAACATTTAAATTATCTCTCATGTCGTTCGTTTATGTCCAACTCTCATTGTTAATTTCTTATTGTAAGTCAAGATACGAAGCAGTCAGACTTAACTGTATCTTGCATGTCTGTGGTATCCTTTAATTCAAGTTTGTTTGGTTATATGTTTAATTATTAAAGACTTGTATAGTATAATTGACATACAGGTAGTCCGTAATATTAACGTACACATCTTGTCATTGTTAATGTAAAAAGATGTGGTATGAGTGCCAATGAGACAACTCTCCACAAGAGACCAAATGACACAGAAATTAACAACTATAAGTCACCGTACGGCCTTCAACAATGAGCAAAGCCCATACCGCATAGTCAGCTAAAAAAGGCCCCGAAATGACAAATGTAAAACAATTCAAACGAGAAAACTAACGACCTAATTTATGTACAAAATAATGAACGAAAAACAAATATGTTACACAGTAACAAACGACAACCACTGAATTACATGCTCCTGACTTGGGACAGGCACATACAGAATGGGACGGGGTTAACTAGTTTGAAGGCGCCAACCCTCCCCCTAACCTGGGACAGTGGTGTAACAGTACAACATAAGAACAAACTATAAAAATCAGTTGAAAAAGGCTTAACTCATCAGATGGATACAAGTAGAAATACATCTAACAGAAACACAGAGTGGACGTGGATTGGTAATACATCCCCACAACAAAAAGACACTAAGTACAGATCTGAGAGTACTCGCAGTTACTTTTTAAAACAGTTGATTTTTTAGTTGTGTTTTATGACTAAAATAATCTTTAAACGAGCCGGACATTTCTTTGCTAATGCATGTTAATATTATACTGTAGTGTTAAGGAATATATGTTGCACAGATGATCACACTATTGTTTAGACATCTGTCTTTACCTCTACATTTCGTTTTATTTTTTGTGTTTTTGGGTTGCTGTCTCATTGATTTTACCCCACAAATGTTTTGATTTGTGATTACTGAGCGTAGCTAGAAAGGCGTTTCGGTCGGACCATCAATTGCAAGGATGGGCATTGGAATTGCGATCAAAGAAGTTACATTATATTATGATCATTACAGAATTGGTTTTTGGTTCAAATGTCTAGTCACCTTCACAAATGCTATATGCAGTAAATACATACAGAGAATGTTGTGTCTTTTTTTCTGTTTTGTGTTCTTTAGGATGAAGATAGAACAAAAAATTGCTAAACAAATGTTGTTTTTTCTTTTGCAGGGAAACTGTATATGTTAAAACTAAAGGTAAAGTTATTTTTTTTTATATTTTATCAAATCGTCATAAAGCTCACAGATTTAAGAGCACTGAGTATAGACCACCGTATCTATTTGTGTTGTGTATCTTCCATAAGTTTGTTGCTGAATTTGTAATTCGTTCCTAAGATAATTTTCTAATCACCTGTCTGACTTGCTATTCTTGCATTTTAAAAGACTTTCATTTACAAACTAACAAACTAACAGTTTAGTATGACGTCCATTATCACTGAACTAGTATACATATTTGTTTAGGGGCCAGCTGAAGGACGCCTCCGGGTGCGGGAGTTTCTCGCTGCATTGAAGACCCATTGGTGGCCTTCGGCTGTTGTCTGCTCTATGGTCGGGTTGTTGTCTCTTTGACACATTCCCCATTTCCATTCTCAATTTTAACAAACAGACTACAAATTTTGGCGTTGCCCTTCTTTTAAGCGTTTGACAAAACCCTTCCAAATTTTGGGTCTTTGATGCTGTTTATTTGGCCTTTTTCACTGTTTTGATTCGTCGTCACTTATAAGTCTTTTGTAGTCGAAACGCGCGTCTGACGTAAACAGATCACGTTATCTATGATGAGTTTATTGTCCAGAACATGAATCTTTTAATGTAAAATAAGCTGTTTCATTTTCATGAGGTAAATGTCAAATTTTTGTTGCAATAGGTTCCAAGTGATGCCCCATCAGGAAATGACTATCATTTAGACACCATTTGTACTGGGTGGGTAGTGTTTTCTAAAACTATTGGAAATATTAAGGTCGACTCCAGGAATGCATCAATGTTTATACAGACAGACAAACCAGTATACAAGCCAGGAGATTTAGGTAAACTAAATTACTTATTATTTTTATGATAACATGCAAAATATATAAAACAAATAACAATCTAAGCGTCAAACGACGTACTGTATATCCTGTCTGTCAATCTTTATATATGGTCAATTAAAACTGTAAACTTTGATTGTGTACGCAAAATTTGTATGCTTTAAAAACTTTACAGAGGCCATCACGAGTTGGTTGACCTTATGGAATAATTGAGTCACGGATATGATTACCGTTTCCACAATCCCGTCCTCTGTCCCTCGATTAAGACTCATCACCGAATTTGCACTTTCCATGAGTAACAGAAGGGAGCCACAATCGGAGCACGATATGTCTACCCTTCCATATATAGCACCTGAGATCACCTCAAGATTTTGGTGGGGTTCGTGTTACCCAGTCGCTAGTTTTTCTTTGTTGTGTTTTGATACCGTGTTTGTCTCGTCGTAATTTTTCGTTTTATTTGCCATATCGTTGAGAGTTTCTCTTGACTTCATTAGTTTTGAATGCCCTTTGGTATTTTTGTCTCTATTATTCAAATACTACAGCATTGAAAACTGAACCTAGTTACTAAAACCAAGCTGAAAGCATTATATTCTCTGATACAAAAACACTCTTTCACTCTCATTATTGTTCAGAATTCATGAGAACATGCATTGTACAATGTCCAAAGTAACGTTTTGTGCAGAATTATACAGTTAACATAATATCTGTAACTATTCATGATAACATTGTGTAGATATTAGTACCATAATTTATTTCTTTATTATTATATGTTTTCTTGAATGGTCGAAAGAAAGAGAAACTATTTGACCTAGAATATAAGAGTATATTTGGACTCTTTTTATGCGACTGTGGTCAAAGGAACATTTTATGGTAATACTAAAACCCGTTCATCCGACCGTCCGTATGTTCACACAGTACAATAAGTGAAATTTGCTGTGACAGGATTTCTGAAATTTAAATATCGACGAAAGAAATTATCTTTTCGTTTTAAATCATCTGAAATAAATGTATTTTACAAAATTTAAAAAAATGATTATAGGAAGCTGTCTTAAAACTGTTAGGATTGTCTAAAATATAGTTGTAGTGTTAATACAGTTGGTCAAGACTGCTTCATCTTATTCACATTTAATCTTAATTACACTTAGATTGATTAACGAAAGCTTCCTTTTTAACAATTGACAGACTCTGTTTTCTCGAAGTGGGTCTTTTTTTGCTTGTTATATAAATGTAATATTTTTTTTCACATTTTTAAATAAGCCCTTTTTGCGATAAAAAAAAGTCAAAAAAGTTTTCCTCAAATTTTAAGATAATAAAAAAAAATGATAGATATTATTCATTTGATTTGATTGGTTGTTTAAATTTTTGTTTGATTTCAATTTTAAAAACTGTATTAAAAAAATGGCAAACTTTTACTCTCTACCTTATAACGTACCAGATGTCGTTACTTCCTTTATTAAATGAAATGATCGTTAAACAAATGGTAGGATTTGTCAACGATATCTCAGGTAATTAAGATAAAATGATCAGGGTAATTGAAGATTTATGGGCCTTTATTTCATTTAGATAAATCACAAGGTGTGTATCAATATGTACTCATGATGCAGTTGTTTTCAAATCTTTTTGGTTTTGGGTTTCGTTCTCAATTCATATAAAGATAAGATAAGCGAAGAAACCAACACATTGGTGGAGAATTTGTCTGCAGGAGATTGGCAACATAGTCATTTCGTCATTGTCTTTAAGGTTATGTTCAATCTAGGAAGAAGTGCGTATAATTTGCAATTGAAATATTGCAAATACTGATAGTTAAAATATTTCAACTAAACCAAATGTCAACTGCAACCATTTTCGTAGCAAATTGCAAGAATTAGACATTCTATATTTCAGTACAGTTCAGAGCGTTTGGAATAAAACCGTCACTTGATGTCATTAAAGCTCCCATTGATGTGATTATATTCGTAAGTAAACACTTCGATCTATAAAAAATTGAAAGCATTATGTTAATTTAATGACTAACTAGTCCCCGTAGATGGATGATAGCGCTAGACATAAATAAATAAATAAATAAAAATCACAGAAATTTGGAATTTTGGAAAAAGCAAAAACAAAAAACAAAAATGTATGTCTTACTTACAGCATTCATTACAGCTCGCAAAAAGACTTTTTTTCAATTATTTTCGTACAGGCAATAACTAAGAGGAACATAAATGTAGTTATAAACATAGACAAAACATCAAGCATACATATAAACCAACATATAACAGTATTAAATCATAACATGGATGGTGATGTGGATAAGGTAAAGAAATGTAAGTGAAGTAATTCAGGTACACAAAGTACCTAATACATTTTGTATTTTATAATAAAAAATTATTCTTCTAATATTGGAAGCCAGGGGTCCCAGCAGATATTGGCCATATGAAAAGGGTTACTTTTAAAAAATATATTCCTTTCTAGTGTAAGAGATTCTTTGAGGTAATTTTTTAGTCCTGTAAGATTTACCTGATTTTCACAGAGTTTTGTTCTATAAATATAGAATTTTGTAAGGAGTAATATTAAGTTTTTTATCTCATTGTTTCCTTTGTTTCCTAAATTTCCAAATAAAATAATATAAATGGAATTATTATTTGTGTTTAATTATAAATCCAATCACTAAGTTTAATCCATAAATCTGAAATTTTATAGCATGTCCAAAATAGGTGCTCAATATCTTCAATAGCTTCATTACAGAAAGTACATTTATCTGTTTGTTTTATCTTAATTTTGAATAAAAATTCATTTGTGCCTATGATTCTGTGTACTTTTCTGTATTGGAACCAATGAAGTTTAGAGCTTTTTGTGGTGTAAAAAGACATATTATGCACTTTTTTCCAATCCAATTTTTTATTTAATCTTAGAGACCATTTATCTTCACAGTTAAGCCTTGTACTATTTTTTTCTAATAAAACATTATAAATATCTTTTGACCCTTTATTTGATAAAAAAAATGTTCTTATATTATATGGAAGAATTGGTCCATGAATTTCATAAAGACTGTCTATAGAGATATTATGTTTGAGAGAATTTTGATATAATTTAATTGCTGATATAACCCCATTATAAACTAGAAAGTTAGATTTAATTTCATAAATATTTTTGCATTGCTCAAAAGACATTAATTTACCCTCATTATCTACCAGATCATTTATCAACAAAATATCATTATCAGCCCAGTATTTATAGAAAACAGATGTGTTTCCTATTTTAATATTTTCACTATTCCAAAGTGAGTCTGTTAAAAATTCTTCTTCATTTTTTGGTGTAAGTTTATTTTGCATTTCTGTCCATGCTTTAAAAACCTCTTTCCAAAAGGGGTTTTTACATCTGTTTGATGGACCTAGAAATACTAGGTTTTCAATATTAATATTTTCTGTGCTTTCTACTAGCTTTTTGAGTTTTGTATTGTTTTTTAACAACCGTCGGACCCACGTTAGTTTTAACCCTTTAATATATTCTTCAATATCTAGCATTTTCAGCTCCCCAAATTTATGATCCAGACATAATATTTCTCTTTTAATCTTGTCAGGCTTGTTTTCCCAAATAAATGAATATATTGTACGAATAAGTTGTTTAATAGTAGTATAGCATGGTGCTTCTAGTGTTAAAAACAGATGATTTAATTTTGAAATAATTAGTGTCTTGATAATTGTTATCTTTCCCACTAGAGTAAGTGTTTGTTTAGACCAAATATTAATTATATTTTCAATTTCTTTTATTTTAGGATAATAGTTCAAAGATTCCAGTTCCTGCAAATTGACCGAAACATTTATTCCTAGTAGTGTAAACCTACTGGAACCCCATTCCAATCCCCAGTTTACACACATGGTGTCTTGACTATATTTTTTCATCCCTATCCACACCACCTTTGTCTTGTCCAAGTTCATATGGAGACCAGACATTTCAGCATATTTATGTAATAGGCGGAGAGATGCATCCAGAGATTCTGGTGTACCGTCAAGAATAATTGACGTGTCATCTGCATATTGAGAGATCAAATATTCGGTATCATCTATTTTAATTCCCTTTATTTCTTTATTTTTTCTAATTAATATTCCAAGTATTTCTGCACATAAAAGAAAGATATAAGGTGATAAAGGATCCCCTTGTCGACAACCTCAGAATTCAGATAAAAACAATTTTGAGAAACTACAGAACTTATATATTTATGTAAAAGGTCCTTATCCAGTGTTTTATAGAGTGGCCATAATTGAAAAAGTCTAAAACGTTTTCAATGAAATTCCATGATACAGAGTCAAAAGCTTTTTCAAAATCTATGAGAAGGAGCAGTCCTGGTTAATCATTAAGTTCTGTATGAAATAAAATATCATAAACAAGACGAGTATTTTCCCCTATAAACCTACAAGGAATGAAACCGGTCTGATCACTGTTTAATTTGAGGTAGAACTAATTTTATACGCTCTGCTATGCAGCTTGACGTTAATTTATATATGGTATTTAGTAAACTTATTGGTCGCCAGTTTTTCATGAACTGTCTTGGTTTATCTCCCTTTGGTATACAGGTTATAATACCTTGTCTTTGAGTAATAGATAATTCACCCTTTTCGTAACAATTAATTATAGAGCGAAATACAAATTTTCCTATATCTATCCAGAAAAACTTGAAAAATTCATTTGTGTACCCCAATTTTTGACATTTTTACCTACTATGTCTGTTTGTTTTGTTCACACATTTTTGTCAATATAATGTAATTCTATGCGACTGTCATACAAGTGAGAGGTTTAGCGAGCAATAACACCAGGCTTAATCCACCATTTTCAAAATAAGGAAATGTCTGTACCACATCAGGAATATGACAGTTGTTTTCCTTTCGTTTGATGAAACGATGATGTGACGTTAAAAAAGGCGACCATGCCTGATGACGTCACCTTTAAAGAAACACATATTTTTGCAGATCAGAGAAACATTTTGTCTACATATCGTCCAAATAGCATTAGAGAGACAGTCTCCACCACAGAATCTCATGCAATACGATATTTCCCATTTCTCGGCAATTGCATATTCAATATTTAAAAGATAGACAAACCTCTCTTGGTAGCGTTAACAAAGATTCTCAGGTACAGCTAACGATAAAATTGAAAAAAATACAAGAAGTACCAGTAACTTTGAAACCCTCCGTATACATTTCAAAACTGTGAAATGCTTGTTAAAATAAAACGACATTTTTGCTGTTCATTTTTCAATAAAGTCGTTCCTCAAAACAGTGTATACGTTTTTGTTTCCGATGCTGCAAACATGAAAAACGCTTGATGTATGACTTGCTTAATAAATACTTGGGGTGATTTATGAATATTTTCGCAATAAGTTTTAAAAAGAGTTTTCTCCATATTTCTTGTTCACATTGATACACGAAGCATACATATACAAAAAGCGGGTGTACAAACTTTTTTTATTATTGTAATTATAAATTTTAGACCATATCTTAATGGTACATGTGTTCATATACATTTGTGTACTTATTTTATGTTTCAACTATCACAGGGTTAAGTAATACTCATTTTTATGACAATTATTGTAGGATCCTCTAAATAATAGAGTCAAGCAATATTTGAAATTACAAGAAGAATATGGCGTTGTATCTGGTTTCTTACAATTATCACCGGAAACACATCATGGTAGATGGACTATAGAAATGAACCAGCTGGTTTGTAACTTGAGAGATGTTCAAACAACAGTCTAAATATGTCTTTTTAATTATGAATTTTGTGTAAATTCATCAATGAAATTGAATTTTTATTGTCACAATTAGTATAAAACTGTTAAGCTTTCTCGGGGCCCGAATTGGAGTGTTAAATAACCAACCCTGCATAAAGTGACCTACCAATTTATGATGTTCATAATTCGGCAATCATAAATAACTGAGGGTTCAACATTGTTTACCCTCTTAATGTTTGACATTCAAGTACCATATGCTTACTCAAAGGTTTTTTCACGGCAGAAAAAAGACCAAAAGTTTGTATGATATACGTCAAATACATAATTCATTATAACATCGAATTGCTGGATATCAAACTTGCTTTTATATCTTCTTTATTACAGTGAAAGAATTCAATTTGCCGTTGAAAAGAAGAAAATTTGTAAATGTCATTTTTTGAAGCCTCTATTTCAGACATTTAGAAGTTTTGTAAGGGTGTAACACTCTATTAGCGACTTTGATTTGGAATTAATTTGTATAACTCCGATTCTCTCTGTCTGTCTGACTGTATGGCCGTCCGTCCTATGAAATTTTCTTCGCTTTTGTCACAAATTACTAACCAGACCTTTCTGAAATTCGGTATCAGGTTTTATTTAAACATGCTTTAATTTATCGCTCCTCACTTTCCTGTTTACCGAATACTGATATTTTCTAACACATAACGGCAATGTATGAAATGCTTTTCAAATTTTTCTTGAGATTTACAAAAAAAGGGCTGTCTGCAATATGTTATCAGGCTTCATGTGAATATGCTACATCATGTGATGCGTGTTCAGATTCATTTTTCATCAACTTCCTATTAACCGAACATTGTCTGACAAATAATTTAAACGAATCTTTTTTACAAATAAGAGCGTCCTGAAATTTGTCATACGAGTTCATGTGAACTTGTTAGATTGTGCGATTCATTTGCATATCCATTGCTCTTTAACTTCCTATTCACAAAATACTTAAAAGCGGGATTCTAATATTTTTGGTTTGGCACAGTTTTTCTAGAGAAACAACCAAATCCCAGAATTTTACGATATTACAAAAGAAAATTTTAAATACAAAACAAAATGTACAGTACCAGGACAATTAAGCCCGTTCTCTTTTTTCACAAATTGTGTTTTAAAAAAACAAAATATTGTCAGTCCTCGGTGAATTTTATTTCTTATTTTATCCTAAAAATAAACATTTATATATTACAGGGACAAACGGAAAAAGAATACATCGAAGTGAAAGAATACGGTAATTGCTTATACTTCAAGAAGTTTTGGATTTTCAAATACTTTTATCTCGAGCATCACTAAAGAGACACTTTTTTTGTCGAAATGCGCATCTGGAGCAGAACAAAATGGTACCGTTAATGATATTAAACAGAAAATGAAAATATGAAAACAAATGAACAATAAGTATACAAAAAAAAGTAAGGGTCAATTTGCTTCGAATTTTTATTTCAATTTTGGGTGATTTAGAAGATTTTCAAACTTTGGTAAAATTAGAGATACCAGTGTGCACTTTAATGGTTCGAACACTGAAATTTTTTTTCTCCTTCGACGAAAGTAGGTAAGCTGTGACATAACGATCCTGTATTCCGTCAGTTTCGTGGACGACATCGGCATTATCTTTTCATTTACCCAAAGGATCAGTTTCTGGTTTGATATTAATAACTTTGTCCAATTCATTGAATTTTACAAACTTTGGTCAGAAATTTTTTTATGATAAAGATATAGCAAATGGAGCTATTTTTCAAATTTGTCTGTATTTTACTGATAGATTGACTTAGATTTCTTTGTAGTTTATATTTAAACGAAGTCTGGGGTTGAAGTTTAAACATCAAAATTCTTGTCAAACTATCATGGAATTTATGAAACTTCGACAAATATTCCAGGTCATTGATCAAGAGATACCATGTTGAGAAAACAATTGAATTTTTTTTCTTTTTCCGTATTTTACTGATAAATGCATGAATGTCTCTTCAGTGATTCAACAGGCCAAAACATTAAAAGCACAAAACCTTATACAAATGTATCAACATTAAAGACCTAAAGGAACTAAAAATTAAACAAACGTACAGTCAAAATCCAGATAAGGAATCATATTAGTGCACGAGGAAGAGTCATTCCTTAATTAAAAATCATTTCGAAAATTTTATAACATCTAATTTCAATGAAACAATATCCGTATCTTCATGTCAGTAGAGAAGTACTTGCTGCTGCTGAGCTTGTCATAACTTCGAGGATTAAAAGTCCACCAGTAGAGTTATCGATCCAGTAGTTATAACATTAACGGTACCAATTATGCTGCACGAGAAGCACATTTTGAAAATAGTGTATTTTCAGTGAAGCTCGAGGCAACAGTATTTGAAATTCCAGAACTTTATATAAACTTTGAAGAGATAAAAAAACAAAAGAAAGACTAAACATATAGCCAAATCCGGACAAGGATTAACATAGAATTGGAATTACAATATGACAGTCAACACTACACTTTTATACTATCAGCAACAACAGCAGACGAGACCAAAAAGTTTTTATAGGCATTAATGATTTATTTTTAACATGAACCGATCGTTTTAAATATTAAAGATGGTTAACAATTGATATGGTTTTAGAAAATAATAATAAGTATTATTTTTAACAAAATGAACTAGATGGACTTTTAAAAACAAAATAAATCAAATTATGTCATACGTAAAGTAATGTATTCTTTTTCATATACAGATTAATTATTTAATTAGGTTCCGGATGTTTCATGACCATAATTCTTATATTCCAGAGATGTAGGTGTCATATGTTTTATTGAATTCCTTTTTGAACATGTTGAAAAGATGGACATTTTGATTGTATTGGAATAAAACATGTTGCTAATATATATATATATATATGATATATATTATTACTATTATTATTGATTTTTATTCCATGTAAAGATAAAATAAATATTATGAAATATTTTAGTGTTGCCAAAATTCGACGTTCAAGTTTCGGTACCTGGATTTAATTTTGTGCAAGGTGACTTTGTTACTGTTAGAGTATCTGCAGTGTAAGTACTATTTAAAAAATTTCGAATACTAACACTTTACTAAACTCGAGGCCATATAGAGCTTGACAAATAGTATATATACTTGTCTCTAAAATTTTGACTTTAGACAAGATATCTTTTACTGTTTTGTGTCGTTGGGTTACTGTGTCATAAATGAATACGACTGTACTTGAACCTTTTTGTATTATTGGCAGATCAATGAAAAAGTAACAGTTGATGTGCAATGTTGTTGTAAAATTTATGATCTGTATACAATTTCTCTATGGTTGTCCTTATTCGCTTTGTGTTGATAATTAAATTAGTTGTTGTTCTTTTGTGTGTTCTTTTTTTGTTTGTTTTTTTGTTTTTTAGGGGGTTCAAACAAGTTGTAAATTTATTTGTATGTCGAATGATGACATAGTATGAACATGAATGGTGATTATAAGTTTTGACATATATTTGAAATCTTTTATCTGCAGATATACATTTGGAAAGCCAGTAGAAGGATACGCATTAATAAACATAACTCGTACTGAGAGTAGTGATAGTGTATTTGTAAAGTATGAAAAGGTACTATTTTGTAGACATTCAGTTCAGTTGATGTTATACTACAAAATAGGTTATAATAAGTAACTTAGTGACTTTCATGGGATAATAGTGAAAATATGGGGTAGAATTGAGAATGGAAACGGGGAATGTGTCAAAGAGACAACAACCCGACTAAAGTGCAGAAAACAGCCCAAGGCCACCAATGGGTTTTCAACATAGCGAGAAAATCCCGCACCCGGAGGCGGTCTTCAGCTGGCCCCTAAACAAAAATGTGTACTAGTTCAGTAAAAATGGACGTCACACTAAACTCCGAAATATATAAATGAACCAAAATTAAAAAAAAAAATCATACAAGACTAACAAAGGCAAGAGGCTCGTGACTTGGGACAGGCGCAAAAATGCGTCGGGGTAAAGCATGTTTTGTGAGATCTCAACCCTCCCCCTATATCTCTAGCCAATGTAGAATAAACAAACACACAGCAATACGCAAAGTAAAACTCAGTTTAAAAGAAGTCCGAGTCCGATGTAAAAGGAAACAGAAGAAACTAAGCAATATGACAATGATACATAAATTAACAAAGGACTACTAGCAGTTACTGACATGTCAGCTCCAGACCTCAATTAAACTGATTGAAAGATTATGTCTTCATCATATGAAAATCAAGCACAATGAAAAGAGGTTAATCCAACAGACACTATCATTGTGAAATGTCACACAACTGATTTATTTCTTGGATGAAAACAAACATATGACAAATAAGAAATATTGGTATCTTGAAACATAGTTTGTCAAAAAAAGACGCTGTTTCCTGATATTTTTAATTAATTATAGTGTAGCAGGTAATTAAAAGGCAAAACAAATATTGCATTGTGCTGCCAGGAAACTTAAGTAGCAAGATTATTAAAGTAAATAAACATTTCCTGACATGTCCTGATATACCCTATTCGTACCATTGTTCTTTTCTATATTTTCACAGCCACAAATTATGCACACCAAAATTAGCTAATAACATATTGTACTATCTCTCAGAAAGACCTGCCTAAACTAAATGGTTTATTGTAAGGTACTCGTTTTCAAGTGGTGATATAAAAGAGGTATCTTTCTATTTTGTATTAAGATATAAGTCCCCATAAGTATAACGTATATGCTATAAGTTTATTTTTCACAGATAGATGGAAAGGTTGATATCAAGATTCCGATGTGGTTTCTTTACCCATCGTTTGGAACTGACTACAGACTCTTTGTAAAAGTCAACGAAACGGTGACTGGAAAGGAAGCCAATGCTACAACAAGTTTCAAACTATATACCCAAAAGACGAAAGTAGTGTTTTCACAGAGTATGGCATCTACATTCAAACCTGGCCTTAAATATACAATTATGGTAAGTAAAGAGCGTTCTTTATTTTAACGACTAAATATCACATGAACCTATATTTTTTAAGATTAAGCACGCTTATGCTTTTAAATTTATCATGTTATTTGTTGTAAGAAAAGTGTCATGTATGATCGGAAGCGAAATGTTGGGACAGAAAACTGAAATTCAAAATAATTAAAAAATGTAACAAATAACATAGTTGTAGTTCAGATCTTTGAAAAAAAAAATATGCTCAAATGATCGTAGATATCATTTTAATTAACTTTCTAAATTTACTTCTTCAACCCTATTAAAGTTCACAACAAATCAGTGAGTCAGACGTGTTGTATGATTTTCCAAAGTGTTTAAGATTTTCTGTTAGGGTAAGCAGTACTTACGCCATAAGTGGCACTGCGTGTTCATAATGTCCTATAAAAATCCGTGTATAAGTTGCATATTTTCATAAAACAATTTTTACTAAAAAAAAAAAGACAATACTGAGGCTACAGCAAATTAAGTCTGATCATGGCCATCTATGAAACAGATAATTTGTAACTGTCATTCAAGTTTTGAAGGCGTCATTAACATTTTTCGAAAACTTCAACTTAACCATTTAAATTTTACGATTCAGTAGTTTCCATTTCGCCCCTTTGTTAGGAAATCTATATAGGACGCACACTGGAATATGGTATCATGTGGGACAATATGTACAATTTATTAAGCAGATACTGTTTAAATGTTGCTTGATAAGAATAAAAGGTTCGTTATGGAACTATGAGAGTCATTTCCTTGGATTTAAGCTTGAGTTCTTAATCGATCATCAATATCCATTTTCAAGATGAAAAGTAAGATATAAAGCAGACACATCTGTGTATGTGTTATTTCTTGTTTCAAGTTCAACGGGTCAGTTGCACTCAGCGATTAACAAACTGTAAATTTGCGGTGAAAGGACATCTACCGATATTCCTTTTATCCTTTACGATACGGAAAAGTGAAAAGAGACACACAGCATATTTTCTTTCAAAGCTGATTGTCTTGTGAAAACAAGTCAACAAAATAACAGCAAAAATAGGAAAACCGACGAAAAGACAAGCAACAAAAACACAACATCGAACAGAAAACGAAAGATAGAGCAGCAGGAACCCAACCACATTTAAAATATTAATGGTCTTCTATGAAACAGATAGTCTATTCAAAGATAGAGCAACATGTACATTTACCCCACTATATTAAAACTGGCCATATAGTCATCTTTGAAACAAATATTTCGAAACATCATCTAAGTTTTGATGACGTTCTTCTTAGTGATCTTTGAATTTTCCACTATCTGATTCGAACCATTCAAGAGTACTATATCAATTTAAAATTTATAAAGTGTTGTTTCATGTTTTACAGCACTGGATCGATACCGCTGCTGGTTGACTATCAGTCACTGAGGGTATCATCAGATCAGTAGTCAATACTTCGGTACTGACATGATTTATAACCAACCTTTCTAAAATTGTCCCTTTGTAAATTTTGAAATTATAAAGAATCTAAGGTTTCAACTCCCACCGAAATTTTACCTTAGATGGATTTGGCTATTTACTTAGGTCCATTTTGGTTATATAGCTCTCTAACTTTTTCAGTTTTTGTACATTCTTGGCTTTCACATATTTCGTTTTGAACGTTCCTGAAGAAGGTTAAGAGACTTCTGACGCATGAAACTTATAAAGTGATGTTTTCATTTTTAAACCCGGATTTGATATCTTATAAAATTGAAGTTAGTATCTTGAAAGAGATTTTACTCAACTTTTGGTGGATCCGCTATTTTGATATTGATTATAATTATCATAGCGAGTAGAAAGATGGAAAATTTATATATCATCTTCAAATAACATTATCAGGAAAACTTCTTATCCGGTTACCCGGTAGGAAAGATCCGGAAATACATCTGTTGTGAGTAGTTAGCAGCGCATCTTTATTTTCTTTCTGAAAAGTTATATAACATATCATCGCAATTTTCTCAAAAATAATTTATGACAACATGAGCGTGCATATGAAAACAGAAATAAACTGATTATAAATGGTCTTTCAACTCGAGGATGTTTCTTGGCTACAACGTCTCAAAGCAGTTTCAAGTATTTCAGAGATAGTAGCTAAGAAACACCCTCTCGTTCGAAAAACTATTGATAATCTATATTTTTTTGTCGAAGATATATAAGAGAAATAAATTGAAGAGAATACGGAAAAATGGATATGTTTGATAAATGTCAATGAGAAAGCAATCTAACGCTACAAAATCACAAAACTATATTAACATTGTTTTGCTAACTTTTGTAAACTTTAAAACTAATTTTTACTGCTGTGTGACTTTAGATGAGGATAGAAAAATCAGACGGTAGTAGCATCGAATCACCAACGGGTACTGCCAAAATAATCATAACCTACGAATATACCGTCAAGGTCAAAGAAAGTATAACTACAAAGACCAAACTGTTCTTCACAAAATCAGTTGCTGTTGACAAGTCTGGAGTTGTTATACAACAAGTTTCGTTTCCTCAACATGCAGATTCTGGTACAATTTATGTGAGTGCTTTATTGTTTTGGAAATTACTGCAATCAAAGGAAATATCCAGTGTTCATATAAACGTTTTATGTTTAAATGTTGACTGCTGTACCCCTATTTTTGACATTTTTTACCTATTATGTCTGTTTGTTTTTTTCACACATTGTTTTCAATATAATGGAATTTTATGCGACTGTCATACAAGTGAGAGGTTTATCTAGCTATAAAACCAGGTTTAATCCACCATTTTCTACATCAGGAAATGCCTGTACCAAGTCAGGAATATTACAGTTGTTTTCTTTTCGTTTGATGTGTTTGAGCTTTTGATTTTGCCATTTGATATGGACTTTCCGATTTGAATTTTCCTTGGAGTTCGGTATTTTTGTTAATTTACTTTTTATTATTAACATATATTTAACAAATTGAAAAACCATTAAGAACAACATACATGTATACATGTATAGAATGAAAGTATATATATAAAGTGAAAAAAATGGACAAAATCTTACAAAAAAAGAAGATTATCAACAGTAAAAGACAGTCAAAAAGTCTAAAACGATATTTAACATCTTCAAAATTTCATTTTAATGAAACTTTGCCTATTGTTAGAAAATGTACGGATAAACGATGTATGACATATCCAGATATAATAGAAGAAAGTTCAATTTATTTTAAAAATGGAAAGCTTTTCACCGTTAAACAAAACATGTCTTGCAAAAGTTCAAACGTCATTTATTCTCTCATATCATGTTCAAATTGTGAGGAATTCTTTATTGGAGAGACAAAAAAAAAAAGAACTGCGGACTAGAATGAATGACTGTTCATAGGCAGCAAACCAACCATGAAGATTTAACAATCATCCGGGCTAACGACCATTTCCATCGTTGTTCTAATGGACCATTTAAAATTTTTCCATTGTATATGGTCAATCTTCAAAATGATTTTCTCCGGAGGAAGAAAGAAGAATTATTCATAAACATACTCAACCCGGAATTGAATGATCAATAAAATTTTAATTTTTAATTAAATAATATTTTAAAGACTTTACTCAAACTTTAAAATGACATTAGTAGTCTCCCTTGTATTTGTTAACGTCATACTATTGTTAACGTCAGTCAATTGTTTTATAATACCTATGTATACAAGTCACATTACCTGAAGATCTGTGAAAGAAGTGAAAGCGCTAGTAAAAGTGATGAATTGAAACCGTTATTATCTTTTATTAATTTTCTAATATATATATATATAATAAGGAAGAACGGTTTCAACCACAGCGATATGGCAGTGTTACCGATACGTGATTTTCTTTTCGTACTCTCTGTTTTTGCTCTCCAGGTGCTGCAAGCACTTTGTTTGTTGATTTTCTGGACGTGGAACAACAATCTGAACAACTGAATTATTCAAAGAGAGGATACAATCTGAACAACTGAATTATTCAAAGAGAGGATACAATCTGAATAACTAAATTATTCAAAGAGAGGATGCAATAGGGAATATAATAGTTTACAGAAAGGGTTTATTCATTGTACAAATATAACATTGGACAATTTTAAACTATAAACTGTCAATCAAGTAGCTGAACATCAAAAGAAGGTGTAACATTATGTATACATACTTGTTTTACGTAATCAAATAGATTTATACATTTTAGGTTGTATACAAAGGGCGATATCTGAGTTCTAAGTATATTCGGAAAGCTACTTCACCAAGCAATAACTATATTCAGGTTAGAAAAAGGAGAGGACGGTCATTTGTGCAGGTTAGTTCTGTTTATATTGATTTTAAAATAAACTTGATATTTTGTAAATATTTGACTACATGTAAGGTATACATTAACGTCAAATAAACAGTAACCTAACTACAAAAGTAACCAAAAATATGTCAAGTGTGTAAAAGAAAGACAGCAATGATAGTTAAATGTTAACATTATACCAAGCTCTCAGTTGTCCAAATTCTCCAAAAAACAAAAATATTAAGACATGGTTTAAGATTTTTAACAAACAACGTTGTGACATGGGACATTCACACGAAATAAAATAATTTTAGTACATATGTACTGAGAATGTAGGTAAATGTGGAGTTTATGAATATAAACAAAGACATCGGAAAACATTTGGAGGCCAAAATTATCTCAAGGAATACCCGTTAAATGATGTATTTCTTGAACTAAGCAGCAGGTGGAAGATCTTAATCGATGAATAGATTTATTTTTCGGGAAAATAAGTCATCGAAACGTTGGCACTCGTTATAATGATTATAAATTTATTAATATGCATGTGACCAAGGACATTTACAATACCCTGCTGACCTGTTGAAATTGTGAAAGAACATACCTGAGTATTTTTTATAAAAATAAGAGGATGTGATTTGATTGCCAATAAGGCAACCCTCTACCATGCTTTAGTTATTACAAGCGTGTAAAATTAAGACCGTGTTATTCACTGACAAGACTGATAAAACATTTTAAATAAAATTGAGAATGGAAATGGGGAATGTGTCAAAGAGACAACAACCCGACCATAGAACAGACAACAGCAGAAGGTCACCAACAGGTCTTCAATCTAGCGAGAAATTCCCGCACCCGGAGGCGTCCTTCAGCTGGCCCCTAAACAAATATATATACTAGTTCAGTGATAATGAACGCCATACTAAACTCCAAATTGTACACAAGAAACTAAAATTAAAAATAATACAAGACTAACAAAGGCTAGAGGCTCCTGACTTGGGACAGGCGCAAAAATGCGGCGGGGTTAAACATGTTTATGAGATCTCAACCCTCCCCCTATACCTCTAGCCAATGTAGAAAAGTAAACGCATAACAATACGCACATTAAAATTCAGTTCCAGAGAAGTCCGAGTCTGATGTCAGAAGATGTAACCAAAGAAAATAAACAAAATGACAATAATACATAAATAACAACAGACTACTAGCAGTAAAACCTGTTTTCGTTAATCGTAGCCTGGAAGAAAACTACAGCTTATAGTTCAAGTTACAGAGAAAATACGTTCATGTTACTACAAGGTATGCATTATAATATAAATGAAAGTGAAGAAGATAGACTCATTTATCAATCCAACTATTCTAAGGTGAACCTGCCACTAGATGTAAAAGACAGAATCATTAATTTTGGTTAGCTAAACTTGGCACCAAATTACAATACACAATTAGTGGCGAATAGTTTTACCTCAAAATAGGTAAATTGAAGTAAACATATTTTTTAAACACTGTATGTTTATTATGCCACCGTTAACTGAAGAGGAAATACAAAGGATCATTAGTCCATTGTCTGTTTGTTTAATTGTTCGTCCGTCCGCTCTTTATATCCACCCTAGATCTATGTATAGCTATATTTCAATTAAACAAGCAAATAGGTTTTTGTGTCTAATGGCATTTGTATAATTTTGTTTATCCAAACCCAAACTTAAAACACACCTTATTTCCATAATGCCTCTGTTCTTCAAGCATAATAACATTTTAAGGTATTACGCAATCACAAAAATTATATCTGTGCCATTGGGAATCAAAATTATTTTGAGGTGAACTTTTATTCACCGGTTTTCTATAATGCATAAGAAGACATTGTATTTAATGCTACGAAAAACGAAGAGTCCTTTAGTTAGAATGAAGGTACCGTTTCAATGTTATTTCATTTTTTTCTAAGTTAAATTTTCTTTGAATTATTTTTATACGTAAATTTATATGAAATTTTTATTGTAGATATATTCCAAAGGAACACTTGTACAACAAGGAATATTTACAATGCACCGGTTATCAAGGAAACAAACTATTCTTGTTACTCATGAAATGACTCCATCATTTAAAATACTCGTTTACTATGTGAGACGATATGGAGAGATTGTTGCTGATGCAATAATACTTTCAATCAAAGAAATCTTCAGGAATAAAGTAATGATTTGTTAATGAGGGTCAGAATAACAGTACAACTATTTTGTTTTAAATGTTTAGGGTTAAATGATAAGTCTACTATTATACACATAATGATTTATTTTATAGGCATCAGAAAGGGAAACGTAGTTTACCGATGTTCAGATCACGTTAATTCATTTTGAATAGTTTATTAAGATTTAAAACAATATCAAACGAATCTCTGAAACTCCAATTATGGAAAGATCAGGTCAATATGCACACACCAATGCTTTTTGACACATTAAGAGCAGTAGATGCGTAACTTTTGAAGCACCTTTAATATGTACGAGTACTATCCATTAGATGATTATTTGATATAATTCAATACAAATTTGAATATGATCTTTCCATCAAAACTATCCAATATAATTCAACATTTTAAAAGACATTTAGAGGTTAACGAACGAATTTTATAACAACAACTTTTATATTTAAATTATCTATGCAGGTGACTATGAAATTTGACCAGAAACTTGTTGAACCAGGACAGACAGTTAACCTAGTAGTCAAGGCTGACCCAGGGTCACTGGTCAATATCTTAGCTGTCGATAAAAGTGTATTGTTACTTGGAAATGCAAATGATGTAACAGCAAACAATGTTAGTGAAATTATCTTAATATCACGAAAACACAATATACCACTATAGTAGCCATTTATTCTCATAGCGTCGAGCATACGTTGTAATAAATTCAACTGCTGATATCTAATTGTTATTGTAAAGTGTGTCTAACTAACTAAATCAATCAATAATTCAACAAATTGCACACATATTTGATTAACACGTTATAGAGATAATTATTGAATATACATTATCCTGCAGACTAACCCCTTAAATTATTCCTCATACTCCAACCCTGTGTGCCGAATCATTTCAAGAATGTTCTCTTGTACTCCGAATTTTGACGATAGATTTTAGGTAAAAATCAATAAAACAGCAACCAAACGTATTGACTCCAATTACAGACCATATGATATGTGGAGCCATAGAGTTTCTCAATTAAATTAAATTATAAATAAAAACAGACTATCAATGGTCTGCCATTAACACCATACGTCTGTAGTTATCAATGTTTTTGGATTGTACACATAGATTTTTACATAAACTGTGTTTTAAGAACAACAAAAATGTTTCATCTGCATTTTTTGTAATGCAATCTGTTGGATCACTGTCATAAATATCACGAAATCTAGATTTAATGTTGAAAAACATTCATTTGCTACGTAAATGATGAGTATCGCAAAGATAAGAAAGAACTGTTTTCAGCGTTGTAACATTTGCAGTTTGTATACTATTTTACCTTATTTTTCACCAATTTTCTATGTATTTAGATTTTCTTTTCTCTGTCGGTGTATTTGTCATTAAGGAATTACATGTGCCGGGGTATTTGCTAGCAAATACATGTCTCTTACAAGGGGAATTTCCCTTGACTAACGGCTCTGGAAATTTGTTTACCTCTCCACTGATAGTTTTGGCAAATACCCCTTGTAAGTATGATATATTTGTATAATATACAACTTTAATATTTGTTTATTTTTTACCAAGGTATTAACAAAATTACAAGGGTTTACACATACAACAGTGCCTATACTTCGAGAATGGGATTCCATAGGATCAGTCGTGGATAGCGGAGTTGATTCAAAAACAGTATTCTCTGTACGTTAACAGTTTACTGTCCCTTTGATTTGAAATTAAGGTAGAATAATGATATAACCACCATCTTGGATTGTAAAATATCAGTTCACATACTTTCTGTTATGTTTATGATAAAAAAACATGTTTAACATCTACATTTTGGCAAAGTAAAAGAAAATTCTATCTGAGGAAATGTAAAGCGATGATTAACCTTAAAACTGTTGTATGTATGATCAATGATAATTTGAAATTAAGAATATTACAGAGACATGACGTGTTCTTCATATCTAAATCTTTTTATTCAAATTGATAAAATTGAGAATGGAAACAACCGACATAAGCAGTTAGTTCAGTATCACTATTGCCAACGTCTCATTATTAAGTAGTGACCTACTTTCAATAACGTTTTTTTAATACACAAGACAAAGGGGCAATAGCTGTCAAATTTGCATTCCTCGATTTGACTCAAATTCTCATATTTAATTTATAACATACTAAAACGTACAAATTATAAAAAGTCTAAAATAAACAACTTACGATGCATGGACTCGATAAAATGTATGCGGAAACGCTAAAATTTGAATAAGGTTTCTTTTTTGTACGTTAACTATGATTGTTTAGATCAGTTTTCCTCTGTTCATAAACAAAACGTTCACCAACTTGCTTTCCTTTAGATCCACATGCAACTTGTTCAGTATATGATTTTAAAAATAGAATATGAAAAGATTGTATCAGTAATGAGCTTACTTTTTAAATTCAACTGGATCGAATAGATTTCATTCCTGCAAATTGCAACATACTAGTATGCGGTACAATTGAAAAATAGAAACGATACGAAGGCAGCATTCAAAAACCACAAGTTGACGAAAAAAAGACTAAACCATGGCAAAGAAAACGAAAAGACGATCAACAATCCAAAAAGTACTTTATATAAACCTAAAGACTGAAAATATTGTTAAACTACTTTTTTTCAAATTTCATATAGAATAGCGGTGTATACGTTAAGACAAATTGCTTGTTAATAGGACATAAAGGTAAGTAGTAAATAACAGTTGATAAATTTATATTGGGAAGTCCATGATCACAAAGAACAAAAAAATAACACGACCTTCGATAATTTTGTCACGATAAATAATGAAAACAAGTCAATTTGTATTTGATTGTATATTTCAAGTAACATAGTTTAACAGATGATTTAAAAAGAAACTATATACGATTGTGATTTCCAAGTAACATTTAATGACTATGGTTACCGACGTAGACAATCTACTGATTCTGTTACCTTTATAATCAGAAAAGATACTTTTCAATTGTCCTGAATTCACCAGTTCACACACTGTGTATGCGCATGTTTGAAGTAATGTCTAAATAGACTTAAACGCAATATTTAATGGAAGGATATAGAAATTATAAATTTGTCAAAACATATACTAAATAAACTCATCATAGATACCAGGTTAACGTTTATCACAGGTATAATATAGAATAAGGACATGTTGTATGAAATCCACTGAGTCAACTAACCACAAGAGACCGATGACGTTAGATGATGTTAGTAACCATGTTTAATCGTACGGCCTTCCACAACTAGCGAAACCCATACAGCAAAGCAAGCTAAAAAAGCCCCTATATACCAAAACGTTCATCAATTTAAACGAGAAAACCTAACGGCCTGAGTTATGTTCAAAGCAAAAAACGAAAAAAAAAGATGCCAACAAACAAAAAAAAAAAGAATTGTGACAACAAACAAAAAAAAGCTGTGACAAAAAAACGAAAAAGAACTGTGAGAACAAACGAAAAAGAAATGTGACAACAATTAACAACCACTGAACCACAGGCTTCCGACTTGGGATAGGCACATACAGAATGTGTCGGGTAAGACATGAATGTCAAGGAAAAAACATCTTTCATGCCACATCACGATTTACAGTCATAGTTGTTTACGAATATATTTGTAAAGATATGTATCAAAACAGATTAAATCACCCGTAATAAAATAATGAATACATTGAATTTAATCATTTTCTTTCGAAATACGTAAAATAGCATATAAAAAATTTTAAAAAAATACTTTATGAATTTCATGCAGCCGAAGCACTTGAAAAAAAAGGATGTATAGGAACTGAAACAGTTGAAGAGCTACATGACCAAAAAGGGCCTTAAATGCCGAATCCATGTCAGGTCAACCTTTCCTGAGAGAGTTTAAACCTTAGTTTCTTAATAATTTCTGAATTTATAAACAAACAATTTAAGAAAGGTTTGTTATAAATCATGTCAGTACCGACGTACTGACCACTGAGCTGATGATACCCTCTGGGACCGATAGTTCATCAGCAGCGGTATGGATCCAGTGCTGTATAAATGAAAACAACACTTTATAAATTCCATGCGTACCGAAGCGCTTTTCTGGATTGACCTTCATCAGGAATGTTCAAAGCCGAATATTTGAAAGCCAAGGATTCACAAGAACCGAAACAGTTAGGAATATGACAGTTCTTTTCTATTCGTTTGATGTGTTTGAGATTTTGATTTTGCCATTTGATAAGAGACTTTCCGTTTAATTTTCCTTGGAGTTCGGTATTTTGTTATTTTACTTTTTAATAAACAAATGAAAACGGAAAAATATGTTTTCCCTAAAAAATATTCATAACGCACATAAAAGAAAAAACGAATAGATAATGGAAAACAAAAACAAGGAATTTTTTCTTAAAGCCTCAAATCTCTTCTCCCAACTTATGTAAACTCAAAAGCTATCAACAGACATGTAGTTTATTTATGCTAATTTAAATGTTTGCTGACTATAGAAATTGGCATGTACCCATAAACATATATTCGAGGCAAGAGTAGTTTACCGATGCTTAAATCTCATATACCGTTATTGTTCCATATATAAAAATAACTTTTAGAAGGCACGCAATCATTAAAATGTTATATCGTTTTGATATATAGAAAATATACATTTTGATTTAAACCAACTGTTTGCTGAAAGGGTTCGTCAATGTCACACATTTAAAAATTCAAGGGGAGAGATTGCATTGCCAAAAAAAAAAAAGGCGGAAAACATATTTTGAATAAATTCTTATTTATCAACAGAATAAAACTGAAATTATTAAATTATCCTATTCAAACTTAAAACAAGTTAGCACACAGAGGAAATCATTGAATGTAATTTGGTGAATCTATTTCAACGACGGATTGAAGAAGCAGTGCTTTTTATAAAAGAAACCACGAACATGAATAGACTGGCGTCACCACAATTGTTTAATTATCTACCTTCAACTAAAGAACAAAGTTTATGTTGAAATTAATACAAAAGCGCTTTACCAGTGAAGATGACACGTGCTCCTTTTCAAGTATTTTATAAACTGTGTACCTATTTTTTTCCAAACGGAAGTTTATTTAACATGTTTCATACGTAAATGATAAATGAAATGGAGCGTCCGGGCAGTGAATAATCCAAGTAAAAACCATTATTGCAGATTAAAACTAATATAAACCCTTTGACCTCAGTATGCTGACAATAAACCGACTAGACATTTTCGAAAAGTCATCCACACGGACAATCATACCTACACCGATACTTACACTGACTAAACAAATAGAGGGCCCGTATCAAAATGCTAAAATATTTTGAATGAATAACCGCGTAAAACTTGGTTAGGCTCAGCATAGGGTAAACAAAATATAAATTTATTATTCTGTAGAGTTGGTTTTATATATTTTCTTTATTCGAAATCTGAATTGAAAACACAAAGTGCTTTCTTTAATTTTAGATTTTTTTTAGTCATGAATTTGTGATATTCCAACTGTTTTGTTTCTAATTGTCGAATCGCACTGATTGATTTTTTTAAAACTGTGATTTGCATTTCATGTACTTTTTTGGAGAAAACAACAAAAATGGACAATAATCTTATCAAAAGAGAAAATCGGGAACACCTTTTTACGTTCGAGCGTGTTTGACTTGACTGTTTTTTCCTTAAAACGTAGAAAGCAAACATATTGAATACATCAGTCTCAGTTCTGATATATTATATTTATATATTTAGGTTACATTTTGATATAATAACATTACAAATTCACAGAACCAAAACATGACATCTAATATGGGTCAAGTGAAGTACCTTTCTAATGTGTCACAACAACAGAGTTGGTGTGTTTGACTTACAAAAGAAAAACTTTTTTTTCAAAGGTTAAAGTTGTGTATTTATTACTTGCATTTTTTTTTTACTTTCGTTCAATACTTTTTTAGTGAAAAATTTAGGCATATTAACTATTTAATCATGAAAGGTAAAGAAAAAGTCGGACACACCGTTTACTAACATCCCATTTATTTGTATGCCCCCGCCGCGGAGGAAGGGGTATTAAGTGTTACGCTTGTCCGTCCGTACGTTCCAAAATTAGTTTTCGCCTCAATGAAATGTTATGATACTTATACAAAATGCTAATTACCACAAAACACAGATCTGACAAGTTCGAATTTGAGTGGCGTCACTGTAAACGTTCTGGAGTTATGTCCCTTTATATACGGAAAAATGCAGAATTTCTCGTTTCCGTATTCTAACTTTATTTTGCCTCAACCAAATGTTATGAAACTTATACACAATGCTTTTACAACTAAACTCAGATCAAGTTTGAATTTGCATGTCAAAATAGTAAATGGGTTGGAGAATGAAACAACCATTACATTCAGAAAGTAATTTGTAATAGCTAAGCAGTTTAAAATTTAGTTAACTGATGTTCAATGTGAAAATCAAATGTAAGCATCAGTAAACAAAATGTCAATACTTCAGTAAGGTATGTTAAATATTTTGTCCATTTCTATTCTCTATGATCATCAAAGAATAATTTTAACTTAGTTTTGGATTAGCAATGTTCTGTAGTATTTACTATATTTCATTCATATTGTTAAATTATTTATGTTTAAAATTAACCATACCTTTGTTTGGTTGAAAAATTGTTTCAATACAATAGAATGTAGTCACTACTTTATAAAATATATTTATTTTCTGTAAAAAAAAAAAATTGCCGTTTTTGTTGACTGTAGAACCGCCTGTTGCTTTTGGTTCGCCTGCTGGTGATGGTTTAGGACCTGGCCATTTTGGTGTCGGGAGTGGCAATGATGTAGGGTTTCCTAATGATGGTACAGGGGCTGTTCCTGCTCAAAAGGATGGCAGTAAATCGCTTGCCTCGCCTTCACGTAAAAGGACCAGATTTCCAGAAACCTGGTTATGGTTAAATACCACAACAAAGTAAGTATACGGAGCTTTAATTGAACAGGTCTTCAAATCGAAGGTGTTTTTCTCAATTTACAGCATTCTGTTATTGGTGTTGTAGAGTGAAAATCTATATTCGAAATAAGATGTGGTATAATTGCCAATTAGACAACTCTCCACCAGAGACAAAATCACATAGGAGTTAACAACTAAAGGTTACCGTACGACCTTCAACAATGAACAAAAAAGGACCCGAAATAACAAAAGTAAAACAATTCAAACGAGAAAACTAACGGCCTGATTAATGTTAAAAACAATAAACGAAAAACCAATATTATATACAGCAACAAACGACAACCATTGAATTAAACGCTCTTGACTTGGGACAGGCACTTACAAAAGAATAGTTTATAAGAAAGATGAAGCGATTTATAACTTTATTCTTCTAATTTACATGATGATGTACATTGTTAGAATTAAAAGAAAGATAGATTATCCAGTTCAGTGCATTCATCTTTAAAACATATGTACAAATAAATGATTATATGCGTTTGGCATACCCAAAAATTAGACATTTGAATGATTAGATATTGGTTTCATTCAGAACAAGATTTGGTTTTAACAGTCGATATTTGGATGATAACTGTATTACTTACAAATACAAAAAACACATGAATAAATATATTTTTTTGTAACATATTGGGTTTTTTTCCAGTCGAAATGGCGTTGCCTCTCTAAAATCTCTGGTTCCTGATACAATTACGCAGTGGATAGCAACATCTTTTGTTGTAAATCCTCAATCAGGCTTGGGTGTAGCGGCAGAACCTGCAAACGTAAGAAATTATAATTTTATTTCAGCGGAATATGGATTTAATTTTCAACGTATTATCTGTTGAAGTATTTTAAAGTTTTATTCACAAAATTCTTTTTTGGGACGAGACATTTAATATATGCCTGACATATTAAAGGACTGTTACTTCAGTAGATTCCCATTATTTATAAACATAGCACCCGAGATCACCCCAAGTTTTGGGTGGGTTTCGTGTTGATTAGTCTTTAGTTTTTTATAGTGTTTTGTAGACTGTTGTTTTACTTTTCGGGATTTTTTTGCAATGATTTTGTCGGTCTCTGGTCAACTTATGAGTTTGATTTTCCCCTTGGTATCATCCGCCTCTTGTTTAACTGTTTAACTTTGATTAAAATTTTTGAATGAAATATTATTTTGTTACTTTTCTTTTTTATATAAATTAATGTACTGTACATTGCCAGCTTGATGAAACTACTTTGTCATCACATTGTAAATATGCTTGTATATTAACAAACCACATAGTGTGCATGTGATGAAACATCAGTATTAGGCAATCTACAATTTAAATTATGTTGTGATCACATAATAAGTCGATGTGTTTCTTTTTTTAAAAAGTTTTGCACATTTATATTACTTTCTTTATAGATCACAACTTTTCAAAGGTTTTTTATGCGGTTAGAGCTACCTTATTCAGCAATACGGGGAGAAATACTAATTCTACAGATTACTGTATTTAATTACATGAATGAAGATTTAGAAGTAGGTTGATTTTAAATATTTGTATTGTTTAGTATAAAATTATTTATTATATGAATATCAAGGCATCTACAGAGATTTAAATCTCATATTAGAAAAATGAAAACAAATCGAACTTTAAAAACAAAAGTTTACCTTAATAGAATCATTCAATACAAAGTATATTTTAGATAAATAATATGAATATAATTGTCAATCTACGTGACAATAATATTATATAGATTATATTTGGTTTACTGTTAACACAGAGATAATACTTGGTTGATTGGCTTTCGCGACTATCGTCATAGACAAAAGAAAATAATAGATTTTGACTGAAATACAGAATGTAGAATTGATGGCATATGACAAGCTTATCAGATGCAATTATGCCAAACGACATAAACAAAAAGGTTTTTGCGACAAACGACTCATTAAACAGACCAATTCACCTACCTTTCTTTTAAAAAACTGTAGTTTGTTGAACCATGTGTTCTAGGTTTGAATATAAGATATTTCTCAACGTTCACCAAAATATCTTTTTGTAAGCTTTTGAGGTGTGAATATCAGCGCATTATTTGAAAAGCTCAACAGAAATCATTTTATTTTCCTTTCTCACATGTTGATACACCAACACAAAACATATTTATCATAAAAATGAACACGATATTGGTTGCTAAAAATTGGCCCTTATTACACTAACTACTTTGTTTTTTTCCTGGTAAAAGTATACAATTCTACTGTAAATTTGTTTCCCTAAGCTTTACATAGGAGTTGAAAGTAGACTTATAAGTGTAACTTAAATTCTCAAGAAGCTTTTTTGTATAAAAAAAATAGAAAAAGGAATTAGAAATAGCTTACTTTGCGGTAATGGTTTTGTTGAAGGTCGTAAGGTGATCTATAGTTAACTTCTAAATCATCTGGTCTCCAGCAGAGAGTTGTCTCATTGACACTCGTACCGAATCTTCTTATTCTTAAATATAAGTTGGACTTTTTATTCTCAATTTAAAACGGGTGATTAATTACTCATTGTAAATGATTCGACCAAAGTAAAGAATAAATATATGAAATGAAATATATCATTCCATTTAAGATAAAAGTACTTTAATTGTATGGGTATCTGTTTGGCATAAGAGAGACGTTTTCCATGTCGACGCACTCGGTCGTTCTCATATTGGAATTGATGTGATTCCCTCAGTTACTATTTGTTACCAGGATTTGTCTCTTATTAATCCATTTACAAGATCCAAACATAAATAAACAACTTTTTTAATTAATTAGTTTAATAAGGTCAATTTAATGTGGATTATCTCTGAACATTTCCTCAGATCGAATTTTCTTATACTTTGCCAAAATATAGATGTTACCATTCCTTCTTTTACCAAATATTGGAAGAATTTAGCCGTTTGGTCATATAGCTCATCACGTATTAAGTACTTATAATTTTGATTTTGACCGTTCCTAATGAAGATAAATCCCGAAAAGCGACACAGACGCGCCTAGTGTATAAAATGTTATATTTTCATTTTCTGTTTCAAAGGGGAATATCAATACTAAAATGTTCGATCAAATAGACGATTCTCAGTTCCCTGTTATGAATTTTCGACAATGTTGTTCCTTTGGATATTTTCAATCCTCAAAAAATCTAACTTTTGTTAGCAGTTATTTTATAATTATAACCATATCAATAATAGTTCAAGAAGGATTAACAATCGTGCAATTATTTGTTTTAAATCGATCACACGGGTCATCAACGATTTATCTTTCAAAAGTTACGAATGCTTTTATTAATTAAATAAATGATATAAAATTCTTAAAAACGAAAAATGTTTTGAATCGGACAAATGGTTTTAAACAAATGGTACGATTCTAAAATTCGTGCGAACAGTTTTTCTTTTATTCTAATTGATTTTTATATTGTAGAAACGATTTTTTAAAATATATTATTTCTAAAATGTTTGGACGATTTTCTATTCTATATGAGCAATTGTGAAATTTAAATTGAACAAGCGATTTTTAAAGTTTACCAAAGACTTACAAACGATTTCAAATGATACTGTATTGATAACAATGTCGTAGTGTCTTTGCAGTATGACTGTTAGTGCCACTAGAGAAGCAGAGTATGCTTACCCTCTGTGTCGTGGTTTTGGGGTTTTTTTTTCAATTCAATACAATTTATTTTCAATATCCTAATACAATTACATTAGTAGTCTAGGAGAGCATACGCAGGGTCCCTACTCTATGTAGTGTTCAAACTCCATACAGCGTTATCTTTCGGGTCATATTTCCCTTTCTCTACAAAAAAGAAGCGTAGCATGATGTCACCACTGTTTCGGAGTTTGTGTAGTGTTATGTAAACAGTTGCCTTCCTTTCCTCAGCTTATATTTTAGATTATGGTTTTGCTTGTTTTTTTCTACTTATGATGTTCGATTGTCCCATTGGTATCTTCTGTCTATTTTTTCATGTACTTTAAATATGTATCGGTCATTTCGCATAAAAGGTTCTATGCGTAAGGTTCGGTAAAGGAAGAATATACTTAGGAAGTAATCGAAATTCATTGGTCGACGAATGAAAGGCAACGCAATGTTCAAATGGAAAAAACAAAATACAACATTTCACATGCAATAACACTATACAGTAAAAAACTAACGATTACGGACTTGTTTGTCTTTTTAGCCGTGTTGTTCTCTACCATTTTCGACTCATCATAAAATATTTCGTGTATATCTATCAATTTTAGGTTCAAGTGAATCTCAACAAAAATGTCAACTTAACCTTTGTAGATGTGAAAGGCAAAGTAGTTGTTCCTAAGGGTAAAGCATGGACAAAGGTATGTTATTACGATGAAATTTAAAAAAAATCAACATAACATTTTTCTTGACAGGATCCCAAAAGTGAATATTATACCTCCTCGTTCTTTGAGTTCTATTGGAAATTTGTTTAATAAGCAATTTAACATCTTATTTTCATGTATCTACTGATCATGTTTTTTTTTAACTTAATATCAGAGTTAAGTAAGATGTGCAAGTAAACGATATTTGTTCATGCAAGATTAAGAATTACATATTTACAGGATACGATATAAACAGATAAAACAAGGTAATATTTTGAAAGACTATCAGAACAACTTAAATTTGGCTGGCTTGACTTTACACAGGAATTGAAAAATCCACCACAATCTAAAAACAGTTTATCTAACAGAATAAATAATAACTCATATCAAAGGTTAATTGTCAGCAAATTGGTACAACTAATGGAACCCAACATTTTAGTAAAAACTAGTTTTAATTAATATTGCCTTCTTTTTTGTACATCTTTTCAATAAACTTCATTAAGTGTCCACTATAACATCTGACTTTATTTAGGAAAATGTTCAAATGCTAGATGTCAAACAAAAATATCTTTCTATGTCTGCATTTATAATGCTATATGAGGAGAGTTGTGTGTCGCCTCTCCGTCTGCCAGATCAAGTCAATCAATATGGCTGTATATGCTGAAAAATGTGTGCTAACGGTAGTTTTTTATCCTTCCTTATGATTATTCATTTTGGGTTTGTTGTGGAAAGATTCGGAACACAACATGATTTCCGGGATGTTTTTTTCGTCATCAACATCGGTTTTGGATATACCTACATTGTATGTTAAAAGTGTATTTTCCAATATGATTTACTCAGGTTTACAATATTAAAGACGGGTGAGAAAGTTCATATTCCATGATATAATCTCACAATTTTATTTATTGATACTAACGATGTTTGTTTGCCTCATGAGAATAATTTATACACTGGCATATTCATTTAAACTGAAATTACGAAAAATGAAGATAACTGCTGTTTTATATATATATAAAGAGTTCTGAAGCGTACTTCTAGTATAAATGATTTAAAAGTAACCTTCTGTGAGTGTCATATTCTAAAATCAAAATCAGCACACAATATGGTCCTACATTTATTATATGCTAAATTCATTTGAAAGAAAATATCAGTCAAACAAGTTCACTTGATAATGGCGTAAAGTACACATGGGCATGTACTTATTTCTCTCGCTTGTTACTTACGATATTATCTTAAAAGTCATATGAAACTTCAAATTTAAAAAAAAGTTGAACATGTTTCATATACTTGAATGGCTAAGTTTTACTCTAAAAGAAGTGAACGTGAACTTTATTTTTAAAAGAAAATCCTTTATATTATTAAAATCTTCATAAATGTACCGATATTGAATTATTAACTTCCCAGACACTAATTCGCCGATATTTTCCCGTATGCAGTGATCTTAACTTTGAGACCTCTCGTTATAACTTCGGCCACCGCACAGCGCAAGTGCGAGGGGAAAACCGTGATGAAAGAATGTTAACACACGTGCTCTTGGGGGTACATAGAAATAACAGATTATCAAAGAACAAATTTAATACAACAAATCATTTAACAACTGTTAAGGAATAGTTAAATTAACAAATGGGAATACATGGAAAATATAAAACAAATGTCATGGATCTTTCAATTCACTAATCTGTCAAGCTTTCCACGTGCTCTGTTTTTATTATTTATCAATGTCCGGTAAACTTCGGCAACAAATTCAGAAGTTAATTAGCTTGCGATCAACAACCCCTGAATGAAATGTTGTTTGTCGATAATACGTTATAGATGTGTAAGAAATATTAAAGACGTGCACGCAAGACTTTGTTTAGTATATATGCATGCATTGGTTCAATAATTTTGATAACATTAAGATTTCACGAAACTCGTTTCATATGACTTTAAATGACTATTATCCTTATGATACACATAAAGAAATTAAAAGATTGTGTATTTCACTCTTTAAGAAGGAACCTTTCTAAATTTGTATTACCAGATAGTGTTCGTGCCCAAAGAAACAGTAAAGTCCGTTTATTTTCCAATAATTCCTACAAAAATAGGAAGCACCCTCCTTGATGCAAATGTGAGATCTACAGCAGCCGCTGATGCTGTGCAGAGGCCATTCATAGTCAAGGTATATTTAAATATTAATTATAAATATTGTCATTTAAATGTAGAGCTGTACGTTAGATTTTGTCACCAAGGTGGAAAAATGAAGATATAGAAGTATAACATGGGAAAAACACTACCAATTAGCAGTATTTGTATTATTAGCGAACACAATCAGAAGTCAAAAACGCTACTTAGAACATGAATATTAAGTTCAATCAGATCAAATCCTATAAAAAAATTACATGCAGATCCAAATCCAAATTTCTTAACTTTGATCTAAATCTAAATCTCATAGACAAGATATAAATAAGTTTCTTGGATTGTTAAATAAATAACTGTTAAAACACTGCAAAATGTGTTGTATTTCGTAAACTGCCTTTAACACGAACCTAAAAACTCTATACATTTTCGATGTAATTGAATATTTGTATAAATAAACAAATCATACATACCAGGATTGAAATATTGTATTTGCACCAGACGCGCGTTTCGTCTACAAAAGACTTATCAGTGACGCTCGAATCAAAAAAAGTTAAAAGGCCAAATAAAGTACGGTTGATGAGCATTGAAGACCAAAAATTCCTAAAAGTTTTGCCAAATACAGCTAAGGTACTAATCTATTCCTGAGGTAGAAAAGCCTTAGTATTTCAAAAATGTAAAGTTTTGTAAACAGTTAATTTATAATTATGACCATATCATAGTTTTGATATTATTTACAAAATGTAACGTGCATATTTCATTAGATGTCATTTATTGATTTAAAGCCAGAAGGAATCAGAGAGAACTACAACATACCTGTTGTCATTGACTTGCGTAGAACAAAGAGGTTTTCAACAAATGTTCGCATAACATTTCCAGCATTTGTTATCCCGGATTCAGAGTTCATAAAGATATCGGTAATAGGTAAGTCTCTTGGCAAACTTATCAAAAAAAAATCAATTGAAATTCGTCACAAAAATGGTATTTGAGTATTCAACATATATAAGAAAAACATTATAATTAGACTCTTGTCGTTTCCATAGACATTTATTTCTACACTTCGGCCCCTCTTTGGGACGTCGGGATTGAGCATTTATTTTTTCGGAAATTCGGGATGATCCTTTATATACGCGGGAAATCTGGATTAACATCTATCGGGAATCGGGAACTTATGATTAGTTTCTCGTGATCCGGGGAACGAATGATTTTTTTTAAGGGAATTCGGGATAGCACCACTTCCTACCTCCCCTCTAGGAAGGCAGTATCGCGGCAAGAAGTAATTGTCGTCTTCATTCATATTTGTTCATTAGGAAGAACTTTTCTGTTAAATCTGTTTTTTTCTTTGTTCTTTAACATCAAAGGTACACACAAGTACATATCACTTAATATTACTTTCCATTGATCGATATGATGTCGATTAATGCTGTAAGTTATGTAAAATCCACCCGGCCTCTATTTCATGTACAACTTATACGATTCGAAGTTAACTCTATGGGAGCCATTTGTTGTCTTCGGATATTTACAGAATTTCATCTGTTGAATCGAAACGAATCCCATCAAAAACCTATGGTGAAAGTTTTATTCATACATATTGCACCAACAAACACGATATTGGATTTAAACTATACGTAGGAAACATTATGTCTTCAATAGACACAATTAAAATGTTAAAAGAAACATAAAAACGTGACAGGAGCCCAGAGTATTAAGATCTATATGTTTTTTAAGTAAAAGTTTTATTATAATTTATACACTTTTTATCTTTGTTCTACACATTAAAGCACAAGAAAAAATAAGTAAAACTATCTTTTTTAGGTGATTTAATAGGTACAACACTGGCCGGAGTAGAAGATTTGTTACATATGTCTTATGGTTGTGGTGAACAAAACCTAGTTCAATTTGTACCAAATGTCTTTATATCTGTGTATTTGAAAGTAACTAACAGGCTGACAAGGGACATAAAAGACAAAGTTGACAGATACCTGTCTGCAGGTTAACTTTTTTTTAATTGCACTTTTGTAATAATATAATAGTTGTCATATTGCGTTAGAAAACTAAAAACTTATATCAATTAATTTATGTAAAGCAGGAAATTTTGTGCAATTTTTTTTCGACAAATATATAAAAATATTAATTGTACTTTAAACACTCAAACATGATCTTTAAACGTTTATTAACAATGAAAAATATTTTTGTAAACATATAACTTAGATAACAAAAGTCTTTAGTGATGTTATAATATAGACCTATGTATCCTTAAATTCAATTGTGGAAATAAGAAGTATTACTTATATAAAAACAGGTTACCAACGTCAGTTATCATATGCTCATTTTGATGGATCATTTAGCGCATTTGGGAAGAGTGACAGATACGGATCTACATGGTATTATTTTTATACGTTTCACTGTAGATTGCTAGATCTTTCGTGAACATTGTTGAACTAGAAAACCAATTGTTAATTAAATCAATAAATAAATCATATTTCACTTGAACGATATAGTCCATACACCGGTTCTCAAAATTATTATGAATTTCGTAAATTTAACAGTTTTGTTTTTGTGTTTTTACTGGCAAAGCCGGAAGTCAAAATTCTTAAATTGAAAACAAACATAAACAGTAACCAACTGTGTAAAACCAAACAACATTCAAATAGTTTTGGAGGGATTTAAAATTTAAAAAGGGCAAAATGGGCATGCTTGGCTTGGTTATACCTGTTTTAGTGGGCGCTAAAAAAATAATGCAATTTATAGTATGGAACTCATTGCGCGTCCATAAAATTTGAAGACAAATAAAGACCCGAAAAATTGGTTTTGATAGGTGTTAACATTTTGAATATTCATGAACCATAGTAATAAATTCAATTAATGAAAAGTCATCGACAACTGAAAAGATTGATTTGTTGAAAAAAAGGCGGAAGATACTAAGGGAACAATTAAAATTTATAAATCGAAGAAAAACGAACAAAGCCATGGCAAAAAACGGGAGACGACGAAATATCAAACAAGTCCACAACATACTACATAGTATACCAAAGACCAAACAAAACGAATCCCATCAAAAACCTATTGTGATTTAAATGCATTCATTTCATCTCCGTCCTCGGCAATATTATTATAAACATATACACTGACAATGAGTTATTACGTTGTGGTTAATATAAAGCCGGGTACATTATTTTTTTCATTCACGATTGATTTAATGTACTTCTTTGTCCTGACAGCAAATAAAACAAAACAAAACTTGTATATCATAACGCTTAATATTCCATTATAGTTATATTTTCAGGCTTAATATTGATATAATTTTAAAATAACATGTAAAGTTCACAGGGCTAAGCAGCCAAATATAAGGGCAATTAAATAACAATGCAAACGTTTGCTCGTCAAAACTAAAAAGAATATCAGTTATCTTTTTGTATGCCCCCGCAACTAAAATTTGGGGGGGGGGCATATTGTTTTATCCCTGTCCGTCCGTCCGTCCCATTATGGTTATATAGTTATTCCACATAACTCCTCCTACAGTTTGAATGCTAGGAAGTTTTCACTATGCTGGCTGTTTGTACATATATTGAAGGTGTGCATGTGGTCAGGGTTTTGATTTTTATTAATATTTGCTCTTTTGGCAGATTGTTGAACTTAGTCATTTTTGGAGTATGAGACGTGCATATTCTGTGGGGGCATCATTTGTGTCTCCCAGACACAATAATATCTCAAAGAAAGTCCTACATTGACTTTGTTATAATACAGATACTTCAAAGTAGAGTTTTGGGGCATCACTTTGTTTAGTTTTTTTATTTTCTTTGATACACTGTTGTAAATCAAAATCAAGCATATTAATTATCTTATTCATAAAAATGGACAAAAAATGGAATCCAGACAGAGTGCAGACTTTTGAGATATCTGCCAGAAAGACCTGCCCCACAGACGTATGATTTTGTATCTTGAAAATGCTTAAGATAAAAAAAAACATTCGTATCTTTAAATTTTTGCATGTAACAGGTATCTGTGACAATAAATCTTCATCTACTGACACTTTATAAACTATCCTTTCACGACTTTTTTGGTGAATTATTGAAAAGTCGTCTTGACAATTAATCAAACAATATGTTTTAAGTATCATGAACGCATAAAAATATTTTACATTGTGCCAATTATTCAACAGAAACATTTGTCTTACAAAATACGATTTTTCAGTAAGAATTTTAGTGATTCAATGTCACAAAAGTTGCAGCTTTGCTGAGCTACAATGACAGCTCGTAATCTCTACAATGATACCCTTTTCTTATTGAAAAAATTATGAACGCATGATGGAAGAATAATTTTGGCAATAAGAAACCATATCAACATATCCTAGCTAGTTCAAATTTAAATTCCTTAAATCCCAACATTTGATAAATTGAAAAAATATTTTCAAATGTATTATTTAAACCATTGTAGTAACAACATATTCCTCTAAGCAGATGATCTCATAGAGACTTACAGTTATCTGCAGTATCGATCAAGTGGTATGACAATGAAGTTTAAAACGCGATTTGAATGTGAACGGTGGGTGTACTCTGGAATAATTTTATATTCAGGTTAGATCAGAGACTATTTTTCTGGGATAATCTTCATCCTGTCAAACCAAAAGGGACTGGAAGCAAAATACATTAAATGTGTGTGTGCATCAAAACAAAGGGAGCTTATCAAAAAAGCTTATAATCGTTTTCAAAATTAGTTTAAGTTACCACAATGAAATCACTTGCAAAATGGTGTGATCTAAATATCAAGCTGTAGAAATTAACTCCTTGTTAGTTTCCCTCTCGCTTTCATTTTATATGTGTATAAATAATAAATGTTTTCCATCAATATATATTTTTTTTATTTTATTGACAATTGACTATTTGCTTTTCAATAGCTTCTGAATGAATGCATTGTTCTGTAAATATAGATTTGGAATGTAGGAATATACATGCATCGATCTGGAATACATATATATCGGAACGACTTAAGAGATACGCTTACCTTGGCGTACCCAATCTTCATCCTTTTGGAGTTCATGTTACGTTTGTTTGTATCTTTTTAATTGATTTATAAGATTTGTGTTTGGAAGACTACTGTTATCTTATCTATACTAGTTGTAATAACATTTACTGTAGTAACGACGTCTACAATTTTATTGCAGGTTAACTGCATTTGTAGTGAAATCATTTGCACAAGCAGCACTTTTAACTTACATTGATCCAAACGTAATGCGAAAAGCTATTCGTTTTCTGATAACCAGTCAAGACAAGCAAACTGGAGAATATAAAGAAAAGGGTGTTGTTTATCAAAAGAGCATGCAGGTTTTGTAGTAGTTTTATAAAAGGGCGGACAAACAAACGAAATGGGCAAACAAAATATTATCATATATTGTTATATCTTTAACCATGCCTGTAATTGGTAATTTTATTATAACAAATGTGTACAGTTCATGTTATACTAAAAACTGTACGTCTTTGTCTGCTCTAAATAGAGGCAACAGTAGTATATATATATCATAAATCGATTAAGAGAAAACAAATCCGGGTTACAAACTAAAACCGAGGTAAACACATCGACTATAAGAAGAAAACGACGGAAAAACAGAAACACTGAACTGCAACAAAAACAAACTCCAACATACAGAAACGGGCTATATTGATAACAACTGCCATATTCCTGAATTGGTACAGGACATAAGAAGAAATGGTGGGTAGAATCTGGTTTTATGGATAGCTATACCTCCCGCTTATATGGCACTGTTAAACAATATCGCTAAAATGACAACAATACGTGACAGGAATGCAGTACAAGCAAACACTCAGTATGTTTGTGACGTATATAAAATCTTGAAATTCATACAATTATATGGAACGAGATCTAAAAATTCACAATTATTTTCACAATACTAGTCCAAATAATTATCATGATTATAACGGTCTTGAAAGGCTATTCTGAATTAATGCTGTGACGACGTCATAATTATTTGGACTAACACAATACTTTATCCATGGAAAATGGAAACTAACTCGACTATACTGACAAATAAGACATATGTGAAATATACCGAAAATACAGAATTCAAACCACAAACGATAAGACATAACACAATATCTAACCGTACTTACAAAAGAAACATAATAACTAAATACATGAATGTTGGATGTATAAATACCGAGACACGTCGTATGTATCACAGTGCGAATTCACACTCGGCAAAACAGTCATATTAGGGAATAGGTCACGTTCGGTACTTAGCAGACAGGCGACGTAGATGGTAAACCACAATCTAAGACGTGGTAAAAATGTCGTTAGTTAGTTTAGACACAGACACATCGTATAGATCAACCAATTTGTGATGGTGTCGACAAAATTTACGGAGTGTCATTTTTAATCTTTCCTCCTCATAACTTTGTTGGGGCAGTTTCTAAGAACGATGAACATGTGACAGGTATTCGATCAATTGCAAAGTTTACAATATCTTACAGCCTGGCAGTTTTTGACTAGCATAAATACAATATAAAATTTCACACAAAGGTTTCTGGTTAAGTGGTGATCAAAACATTAGTTGATGTATATTACAACTTCGAATGCATCGCACGTTACATAGCTATAAATGATTAAATAACTGGACCAATAAAACAAAAACAAAAATACTTTTGCATTTTGTCAACTGTCTATATAATTATACAGATATGTTTTATTAATGTGTAATACTTTATATCGTGGATGTCTCTAGCGTCAGTAAACGAAAGTTACAATTTCAAAAATTCGTGCGTCCGAAGCGTCGAAGCGCTTTTCTTGATTTACATTCGTCAGTAACGTTCAAATCTAAACATTTGAAAGCCAGGAATGTATAAAAACACAGAATCTTTGGGAGCTATACGATCAAAATGAACTCTTAAGCCTTAAACCTTCTACCAGCAAATTAAAGAAAAACCATATAAAACATTTTGGAGATCAATACCAATTCAGCTATACTTAAGGAAAACTGTTTAGGTGGGTATACCGATGCAGCTATACTTAAGGAAAAATGTTTAGGTGGGTGTACTTCGAGAAAATTAATTATGTTATTAACGGTTAATTAATTCGTTATCCAGCATAGTTCTGTACAAAATACATGCAGCAGTAAACGGTGAAAAGCCTAGACATTATGTGTGATTGTATTCTTGTTAAGAATTTACAGAGATTCATGTTTTCGATGAATTCTACTCAGAAACTTTTGAGATGACTAAAACATTATAATCAGTTGTCACATTGATAGAAATAAGCGAAAAAAGATATCAAAAGGACAATCAAAATTCAGAAGTCGTAGAGAGGCCGCAAAAACATGTTCCATTATTTTAACAGACTGTTGTTTTGTACACATGCATCCAACATGTATTTTGTTTTCGATCGTTCAAAGAAAATATTGAGAACGGTTAATATGTTTCTTTTTTCATGTTTTATTACTTCACCATCCATCATAAATGGTCATGCTAAAATATACATATTTTGCTTATTAGAGCCTAAGCATCCTCACTTAATCATGAATTATATGAACCAATGATTTATCTATCACAAAGGGAGGCTCAGCATCAAGTGCCGCCAGTTTAACATCGTATGTGGTGATTGCTTTACATGAAGCATTGATACGTAAGCAGATTCCAAATGATGTACGTATAACAAAAAGCCCTACCTGTTTAAAATTTAGTAGTAGTATAACTTGTTTTTGATACTATCTTTTTTATATAGTCTTTCGAAATTTCTAAATACAATGATATCTAAATTGAATTGGATTATTATTTGTGTTTTGTGTTGAAGCCATTATCTAGATGTATTGTCTATTTAAAATCGAATTGAAACAAAGAGGCAGATGTAAATGTATTATTCTATATTGAAACCGGCAATGTTTCAGATTTTTAGAGTGGCAAATGACATTTGTTCTTTTTACCCACTTGAAAGTTTTATTCAATGTTAAGATTAATTCAATTTGTCTTCACAATTTTATCTTTTTCTTTTTTTTTAATAAAGCATTATACATATCATTGGATTCATTGTTTTTCATATAAAATAAGATGTGGTATGATTGCCAATGAAATAATATTCTATCAGAGACCAAATGACGTAATAATAGCAACTATAGGTCACCTTATTGCCTTCAACCATGATAAAAACTCATATCGTATAGCAAGCTATAAAAAAACCTCGATATGACAAATGTTAAACATTTCAAACGAGAATACTAACGGTCTAATATATGTACAAAGCAAATATGATATACAAACACAAACGACCAATGTTGATGTGTAGGATCATTGGTCACATACACTATTAGGTAGGGATAAACATGTTTACAGCCCCTTCCCCAATCTGGGACAGTGTTGCAACTGCACACCATGAGAACAAACTGTTGAATTCAGTTGACTCATCAGATCGACACCAAGCATGTAACAAGCTTACAAAAAGACTTAACACATGTCATTTATCTCGTCAGTGGTTAAATGTATTGTTAATTTTCATTCTAAAAAGAAATTGTGTCAGATATTTTGCCGTCACTTTTATTTTTATTTTTTTTCTGTTGGTTTCCCGTATTTTTGAAGTTATTTTGAACTAACATATTTTATTAATGTCTGATAATTGTGTTCTGATAAGTATATTATTATTTCAGACAATTAAGAAAACCCAGGACTCGATAAAACACGCAGTCAGCTTTATTGTTAGAATTTTAGAGAACCGTACTTTAATTGCTAAGAATAATCAGTATGAACTTGTGATTGCAACTTATGCTTTAACGTTAGTAAATGCACCAATATCTCTTACATTACTACGACAGATTGAAAGATATTCCTCTAGAGAAGGTATTTACTTATATATATTCAAAGTTAGCTCAACTATTGTCTTAATTCTTTTTAAAGGGTGATTACATGCCATAAAAGTAACAATTTGCAGCGAATTGGTTTTTACCCTTGATTTAAATTAAAACGAAGTGAAAGTGGTTTTTGACGCTGTGCTTACAACAATTGTGGCTTAAATATTTAGGCAGAAATATGCAGGTAAATCAAATTCAAATCATAATGAAATAAATTTTGCAATTTTTTTTTTAAGATGGAACAAAATTCTGGAAATTAACTGATGATGCAGCAAACATGATTCAGCCGTATAGACATTGGATACCACCTAAAGTAAAAGTCAGAGCACTTGACATTGAGATAACATCATATGTTCTTCTGATATACAATATTAGGAAAGATATTACTAATGGAGTGAGAGTCGTTAAATGGTTGAATAAACAAAAGAATCCATTTGGTGGATTTACATCAACACAAGTAAGCATATTAGTATCCATTTATATTGAATTTCTATCATTGCAATTATACTTTGTCTTAACCACAAAATCTGTAATGCTCCGGTTGTTGCTCCAACTCAAACATATTAAGAAAAACACCTAATTTTACTCCTGTCACAATTTATTGTCTAATTTTCAATACTACAGTTGTACATAAACCGTTTGAAAAGATACTTGAGTAGCCTTCTTTTGGAGTTTAGTGTGACGTCCATTTTAACTGAACTAGTACACATTTTTGTTTAGGGGCCAGCTTAAGCACGCCTCCGGATGCGGGATTTTCTCGCTGTGTTGAAGACCTATTGGTGGCCTTGGGCTGTTTTTGTTATTTGGTCGGTTTGTTGTCTCTTTGACACATTCCTTCTGCCCCCATCGTATGGGGTTTACATATCTTAGTTGATACGTTATGCTCGTGCATGTTCACACTATGAGGACTTCAAATGCAGGAGTGTGCTCCTTACGCAGAAACTGCTCAAATAGAGTTATGAGGAGGAAAGATTAAAAATGACACTCCGTAAATTTTACGGACACCATCACGAATTGATTGATCTATACGATGTGTCTGTGTCTAAACTATATAACGACATTTTTACCACGTCTTAGATTGTGGTTTACCATCTACGTCGTCTGGTCTGCTAAGTATCGAACGCGACCTATTCTCGAATATGACTGTTTTCCCGCATTGCTATTAGACGTGTCTTGGTATTTATACATCCAACATTCATGTATTTAGGTATGATGTTTCGTTTGTAATTCTGGTTCCATATTGTGTTATGTCTTATCATTTGTGGTTTGAATTCTATTTCTATTTTCTTCATGTATGTAAAAGTAAAGATAATTTATCAGCTATTTCATTTATATGATCTTTAGTTTAAAGCTACTATATGCACAGGATTAATTTGTTTATACAGTTTTGATTTAGAAGAAAAACCGACATGGTTAGAAAATACAAATAATTTCACCATTACTAACACAATTCTATATTAATATTCTTGTAATGGTTAGAAAATACATAAATTAACACCATTACAAACTTAATCCCAATCTTATATTCAATTTTTAGAAATTTGCCTGTGACGTCACTTTTTGTGGCGTTAATACATTCGTGTGACGCACAGTTCATAATTCTATTGTGGTGTAAATGAGAGGTGTCCGTTGTTATTCTGTGGTTTACATGTTGTAATGTACTATTATATTATTTATTTATGTATGTCTCTGTCCTGAGTGTTCTTGCGTTTAGTGTAATGTATTCCTGTCGTGTAATGTTGTCATTTTAGCGGTATTTTTAACATTGCCATATCAGCGGGAGGTTTAGCTAGTCATAAAACCAGATTCAACCCACCATTTTTTCTTCAAATTGCCTGTACCAAGTCAGGAATATGGGAGTTGTTATGAAATAGTCCGTTTCTATGTATGTTGGTGTTTGTTTTTGTAGCAGTTCAGTGTTTATGTTGTTCCGTTGGTTTCCTCTTACAGTTGTGTTTCCCTCAGTTTTGGTTTGTGACCCGGATTTGTTTCAGTTAAATCGATTTATGACTATTGAACAGCGGTATACTACTGTTGCATTTATTCTCCATTTCCATTCTCAATTTTATTCTGTATATTAAATATGCATTTTCAATGGAATGCACTACATATTGTGAATTTATCTCCTCTTCCATACTCTCGTATCGTATTTTATATAATTCAAATCTCCTATGGAAATATGTAACAGTAGAAAGAAATGCATAGATTTAATATGTAAATTTGCATTCTGAGCAAAAACTAAAAGAAATAAATATGTATAGACTTTCCACCCAGAAATCACCATTTGCATGATTCTTAGACGGAGTGGTACTTTAAATCCATACACAAAAGAATATAAAGAAGAAGATGTGGTATGAGTGCCAATGAGACAACTCTCCATCCAAGTCACAATGTGTAAAAAGTAAACAATTATAGGTCAAAGTACGGCCTTCAACACGAAGCCTTGGCTCACACCGAACAGCAAGCTATAAAGGACCCCAAAATGACTAGTGTAAAACAATTCAAACAGGAAAACCAACGGTCTAATCTATATAAAAACGACAAACGAGAAACACGTATGAACCACATCAACAAACGACAACCACTGAACAACATAAACATGTTTACAGCCCCCTCTCTAATCTGGGACAGTGTTGCAACTGCACAACATGAAAATAAACTGTAACTTAAAGAAAAAAATATGTATAGGCTTCCCACCCAGAAATCACCATTTGCATGATTCTAAGACGGAATGGTACTTAAAATCCTAGATGCAAAAGAATTTAAAGAAGAAGATGTGGTATGAGTGCCAATTAGACAACTCTCCATCCAAGTCACAATGTGTAAAAAGGAAACAATTATAGATCAAAGTACGGCCTTCAACACGAAGCCTTGGCTCACACCGAACAGCAAGCTATAAAGGACCCCGAAATGACAAGTGTAAAATATTTCAAACATAAAACCAACGGTCTAATCTATATAAAAAACGAGAAACGAGAAACACTTATGAACTACATCAACAAACGACAACCACTGAACAACAGGCTCCTGACTTAGGACAGGTGCATACAGATGCAGCGGGTTCAAACGTTTTAACAGGCGCCAACTTTCACCCTAACCTGAAACAGTAGTTTAACATTGCAACATAAAAAGACACACTATAAAATATCAATTGAAATGGCTTAACTCGATCAAAAAGACATATGAACAAAAACAGGTAAACATACACTGAACAAATAAGTTTAATCTATGACACAATATGAATACAGTTTTAATAAAAGAAAGTTGTAGAACAATGTCAAAAGACAACTGTAACCTGGGACAAAATGGCGTTAAATAGAATAACGAACACATATTATTTTAAATATAATAATTTTTGGGTTAGGAGTACAGAAATATTTTTTCAAAAGAAATAAATTTGTTGTTCACAGTACGAGTACAGAAGTGAAAATTTATCGTCATACTAAAATCAAAGGTGGTACATATTGAAAATAGTGATACGAGATATAACACCAAATAAGTAAACATTGAATAACAAAAATGCATTACGAAAGTACGATTTGAGAGTACTCGCAATTACTCTAATGTTGAAGCATGGAATAAACAGGGAGTAAGAATAAATGACTAAAAATAAGAATTATACTTTCATTGTCAAATGTTTACAAACATAAGGTGAAAACATTGTCATTATAATTATGAAACATGGTAAAACAAAGATTTTACGATTCTATTTCATTTCATATTTCATATATGTATTTGATACATGTTGAATATATGAAATGGTTTTTTGGAAATTTTCTTTGATCTTGTGTGATATTCGTTCCTATATTTCCTATATTAGATATTCATTTAATTTGAAAAGATATTTACAATTCAAAAATTTCGGGAACATATAATACTCACTTTGTTGGTCCATCCTACCGTCCGAGTGTTGGCAATAAATGGTTCCCGGTGGTATCTAGAGAATCCCCTGCCATGTTGTCATAAATAAATACACATTGTAGATATTTGTGTTTGTTTTATAGGATACTGTTATTGCCATACAAGCAATCACTGGTTTTGCAGAAAAGGTTTTTGTAGAACAATTTGATGCAGTTGTAACTGTCAAAGGGGACTCGTGGACTGGTCATACGTTTACGGTGGATAACACCAATTCCTTAATTCTACATTCAGTGGATGTGAGTTGATATCATTACGTCTTACAAGAAGTCGTAACGTTATTTAAAAAGAAGGGATAGACATGATCTTTTATTAACTATCCAAAAGCTTCAATAAATGCTTTGAAATGCTACGAGGTCTGTAAAATCAAAATATACTTTTCTAAACAACAAAACCAGGGATATATCTAAACAAACGAGAACCATTAAACGACAACGTGGAATAAACTGAAAATCAGAAGTATCTCAAATTATATTTGATAAAATCAAAATACTTAATGGTAAAATAATTTATACGGACAATGTTGATAAAAAATATGAACAAAATGCCTTACCGTCCTCTTTTCTCGAATGTGACATACTGAATTATCACCGGGTTTGTACTAACATGAGCAACGCGAAGGGTGTCACATATGAAGCAGGATCTGCTTACCCTTCCGGATCACCGGAGATCACACCCGATATTTTGTTAGGTTCGTGTTACTCGGTCTTTAGTTTTTCTATGTGTTTTGTATACTGTTGCTCGTCTTTTGATCGTTTTTCGTTTTTTTGTCATGTCATTGGCAGTTTGTTTTCGACTTGTGAGTTTAAACATCTCTTTGGTATCTTCCGCCTCTATTATCTAGCAGAAACTGAAAGGAAATCTTGTCTGTAACCCCTTGCTTGTGAATGTTTAACTCTTTTTGACCTTCAAAATCAAAATGGATTGAATATAATGTATGATATTATTTTCAATTCGCACGACACGAGTTTCAGAAATAGCCTTCATTCGATGCGCTCGATTCCGAAAGTTCACGTATGATCATCATATTTAAATGAGAAGACCTCATTTTGTGTGTCGCTTCTCTTCCTTCCACAATAAATTAATCGTCATGCCTCTGTGTCCTATAGGTCCCATGCATAGTCGCATTTGTCATCCTCGCTTATGATTATTCAGTTTGATATCTTTTGGGAGGAAAACGAAAATAAAAGCATCCGGATATTGTTTTCGTCATCGGACGGACTTTTAAGTCATAGACAAGACTTCCGTTATGGACTGTTTTAAAATTACACATAAAATTGTCATATGTACTTGGGAACAGGACAATTATATTCGCGTTTTTCTGTATACTATGATCATACATATACTATAAATAAAGTGTATGATCACTATTTGCTATTTACTATCAATTCCAAGTTTACTATCCACGGCGGTCACTGATATATTATATAGAGAGCCGTGGATATTAAATTTGGAATTGATAGTAAATAGCAAATACACTCTATTTATAGTTTATGTATGTTCATAGTATACAGAAAAACGCGAAAATATTTGAAAATAACAGAAAAAAAATAATGGATTTTGGAAAAAAGGGAGAGGGCTAAAACAAATCGTCCTGTCCCCAAGTATCTATGACTTTTGATACCTTTCCTTAAATTCTCCAGTCATCAAATCTTTTACAAAAATTCATCCTACAACAGTTTACATACTTTCAACCACGCTCTTAATGCCTGCGAATTCGCGGGTGTGTTCTAGTTATCATAAAACAAACAGATGAACGTTTGCATGAAGCAATTGCAAGAAACTACATGATTTATAAACTAAAAACAAGAAAGGCTCGCATGCCTCTTATAAATCAAGCCATTGCCATTAGCTTTGGACTGGGTATGTTTAGTGATTTGCTCGGAGAGTGAGTAAGATGAGAACCTTTAGGGAATTAACATACGTGTGATAATGATTTAATAACAGAGTGATTAAACGTATTGCCAAGATCACATAAATTGTTAAATCTTACATGTATTGGTATACTTTGAATTTCTTTTATTATCTTAGGCTCCACGCAACATACGACAAATATCTATAGACTGTGAAGGATCGGGATTTCTTATGTTAGAGGTTTGTATTATCGTGGTCATATGAACCGAAATGTTATAGCTGTACAATATTGCATTAGTTATGCATCGTGAAACTTCTGAATACAAACTACTTAATATGTGATGACTGACATACTTTATTTATGAACATAAAACAACAAGAAATACCATGTTGTGTAGTTTTGAGAAAATTAGAAAGTTCAAAAATTAGTTGGTCAGACAGACATACTGAAAATAAAATAGATTAAGGCAACAGTAGTTTACCGATATTCAAATCTTAAAAATTGATAAAAAAAAGACAAATCAAGGTAACAACAAACATTTAGGGAGACCGTGTGCGTCGACAGGGTAAACTTCTCACTCGCCATTCGAATCCACATTCAGAAAAAGTTTTACGATCAGACAATAGGACACAATCGGTAATTTACATAGCATACGACTATACTGGTATCTAAAGATATAAAACCACGAAAACATGTCGCTAGTGAGTTGAGACATCATCAAAGTGTATAGATCAACCAATTCGTGATTGTGAACGTAAAACACTGGTAGTGTCTATTTCAGTCATTCTTACTCATAACTCTTTTTGGGCATTTTTGTGTGAGGAACTCCCCTGTTAACGATTTCCGCATAGTGTGAACATGTACGAGCGTTACGTATTAACTGAGATATATAAACGACAAACGACGGTGCAGAGAGTATATTTCTGCTCAGAAATTGGAAGTTGACAATTAGAAAGTTGAAATCATCACGTTTAACATAGATTCTAGTTTGAATTTGTTATTTGCTGTATTCCATTATAGGTGGCTGTTTTTTTCAACGTACCTGAAGAGCTTAGGAAACCAGCTTTTGATTTAAGTACTACAATTCTAAACGATTCTGTTCTAGGATTTAGGTTAAAAATTTGCTTCAGGTATGCTTCTAATTTTCTTCGTAACCATTTTGTTAATACATCATTTCATTATTTACATAATATGTTCTAATTGAAATGGTTTATCTTGTTCATATTTTAATAATCGAATATGAAATTCATCTTCCATATTTTCCATAAAATATAAGTTATTCAATATTCGTTTGAAATTTTGATAGCAACTTAACAGCGAGGGGGGTAAATCTGATTTGTGTTTGTGCGTGATGTTTTTGTTTTTGCTATTCGTTAAACATTATTTCAAATCTAAACTAATTTCTGTTTTTATGTCGTTGGGTTGCTCTTTCAAAATTTGTGTTAACTATATTTCAAATTCAAATAAAAATTATTTATTTCTGTGTACATGTATATGATGAAATGCTTTGATATAAAATGAAAAGTTTTTTTTTTTTAACAAAATGGAAATGCCTATTTCATGTTTTTGTTAATAAATATAATGCATTTTTTAAAAAACTGAGTTAAATTCAATTTGATTTATTAAAGTTGGTTACGGGGTGGTAACAGCACTATGGGATATATGGAAATTGCTCTACCGACCGGAATGGAGGCTGATATGGATTCTATGAATACTACTAGTACATATGGTCTTTATAAGAAAAGAGAGGCCTCGTCTGATCAGTTAAATTTATACTTTGATTGGGTAAGGCACTTTTTAGCATATTTTAAATTCAGTTGAGCAAACTGGATCTTGACTAAAAACTTTACCAATTGTTTGCTTCTACATGTATGATATAAATATGGTACTACAATGATTTTGTTTTAAAATATATTGGTGCTGTACAAATACTTTAAAACAATGAACAGATGAATGAAAGGAATCACAATGTATACATCACTGAGATAGCAATCCCAGAACAATTAACACCAATTGCATTAAACAACAAAGATAACTGTTTATACAGTTATTGCAACACCATTGCGAGTAAAGGATTATGCAAAACCACGTTGAAACTTAAATGCAAATGCTAACATCAAAGCGGTATACATCTCTCTTACGGTTTATATCGAACATTATGTGAATTTTATAATCTCTTCGATAAGGAAGGCGGATTTAACTGTAATCAACAAAACTAAAGTTTGAAAAGTAAAATTTCTTACTAGTCCATCCTTCAGTTTATGTGTCCCCCTGTTAAAATAGTGTCAGCACCTCTATAGTCTTATGTCAATTGGGTTATCGAAAAAAAACCGTGTGTATTACTAGTTGAATCCTTTTTTATTTGACTGTTAGTCTTTTGTAATTATAGAAATAGATAATTCACCAACTTGAATTAAGGGAACCTTCACGTTTCCCAAATTATATAAGGTGTTTTGACATTTGTCACAATTGTGTTCTGTTTACTTCAATTGCTGATTCTTTGCAAGTTATGTATGTATAAGTAAGCAAGACAAATTTAATATAAAAATAAGGAGATGTGGTATGATTGCCAATGAGACAACTATCCATCTAAGTTAAAATGAAGTGAATGTAAGCCATTATAGGCAACCGTACGGCCTTCAACAATGAGAAAATCCATACCGTATAGTCGGCTATAAAAGAGCCCGACATGAAAAATATGAAACAATTCAATTGAGAAAACTAACGGCCTAATTTATAACAAGGCTATTAGTTTTCTTCATCTGACTGAGCCGTTTGTGGTTGATATATTTATCAATCTGTTACATTTTGTAACGTAATGATATAACCAAAATTCGTTACAGATCACAACTGAAGAAATGTGTGTAGAGATCGACATTGACAGAATAAGCCTTGTAGCAAAGCAAAAACCAGTACCTGCTAGACTTTCAGAGTACTATGAACAAAGTAGGCCTTTTTTGATATTGAGAAAATACGTTCAACACATTTTAGCAGTATTATAATTTTGGTGGATTTGACAATTGCAGGAATTTTGATTTGTCTTAACACATATCACAACGAAATGACCAATTCGAAATAAGTTTCATATTGTAATATATTATTAACAAAAAAACATATTACATGGAGAAATTAATGATTATCTTAGGCAAACGTAAGCGACTTGAATAAATTTTAGGTGCTTTGTCAACGAGTTTCAAACGTAAGCGACTAGAATAAAGTTTTGCTGCTTTTTTAACATGTTTCAAACTGAAGCGACTTGCATATATTGCAGTTGCTTTTTCAAAGAGTTTTATTTAGTCAAATATATTTAATGTCAGAAAATTGGAGACGTTCTCCTTTTACTTTCTCAAATGTTTGAGCACGGATAACATTCTTTACGTAAACCATGACAAAGTCTTAAAAAGAGGCCTACGTAAAGTCCGTTCGAGAATAATTTAATCTCTTTCAACAAAAACAACCTTCTTCATACAAAAGTGATATGCTTGCTTATAACTGCTATCACACTGGTTGACTTTTTTGCAGGTAATGAAGTAATAAGAATGTACGGGTCTAAAGTTTTGTCTCAGGCTTCTGCAGATGATGTTTGTGGACTGGATCGTTGTCAGTAAAAAGATTCACCAGATATTATGTAATACTAATGATTACCTACTTCAATGAAAATAAAGTCGTATCAATGAACTTGTTTTAACATATTCAATAACAGACACAAAGGACACCCTCATAATTTCTATTTGAACACTGACAGACAACAACAGAAATGAAAGAAAAACACCAGTTTTCAAAACGCTTAAAAGGGTAGCTCAACATTGTTCAATAATAACACTGTCAAAAGTTGGTTACCCAGAAGTGATTCGTACAGGAATAGCTATTTATATTTAGCATTGGCATCAGCTATTGTGTAACATGCGGTTGTAAAAGGACAATTGAAAAAATACAGACGACCACTACAGACAAAAAAAAAAACAAAAACTTAAGTTCATAAAAACCAACAGAATATCTAAAGATTAAGCAAAACAACTTGATAAAACCCAGAAAAAAACACTTTAAAGAACGTATGAATTTTTACAATTTGTTCTTACGTTGCGCTTTAACACCACTGTCGCAGGTTAAAGAGAGGGTTGGGCGCCCGCAAACATGTTTTACCCCGCAAAATCATTTATGTGCCTGTCAGGAGCCTGTGGTAGCCGTTTGATGCAGTCGATTATATTGATTTATGCATAAATCAGCTCTTGGTTTCTCATTTGAATTCTTTTTACATTTTTTTCATATAGATTTTTTTAATTTGATATTCGGTATGGGTTTCGCTCATAAGAAGGCTGTACATACGGTGACCTATAATTACTAACATATATGATAGCATTTCGTCCCTTATGGACATTTGTTTTATAATCATATGTTTATCCTTTGTTTCTTGTGTGAAGATGTGCATTTCCTTATTCGTTGTTGTGCTCATTACAGGTGAAACGCTTTATATTATTCATGAACCATTAAAAACCACGAAATTGAATGTACAAAAACAATTTGCAAATCCCTAAGGCAAAGTTGAATGAAGACAATGTTTACTGTTCTGTTTAGACCCTTCTGGTTTTCATTATCAGACATTCGGTCACGGGCGTACCGGATGAAGGTTTTACTTGAAACACATATAGAATGAACGGAAATTCAATCAAATCATATGCATATTTCAAAATTATTTATTGATGTTAAATTATTCTGCCTGTTTGCATTGAGTACTGAAAGTTAAAATAACGTTTTATATTCGTACATATATATGTAACACTCTAAACAGTTCAAGTATTTAATGTTTTTAGGAGAAAAGGAAAGAGTTATTCGCTCAGTTTGAATACCAGTATCAGAATAGGTTGACAGGCCTTTCGTGAGAGAGTTTTATCTACATCAACACAAGTTCATCTTAGATGGATTTGGCTAATATATGTGGGTTTTCTTTGGTCCTATAACTCTTCAGCAAAAGGATTTTGTGTCTTTTCGTTATTTTTTGTCATGGTTTTGTCGGTCTGTCATCGAGTTTTGAATTTCCCTTTGGTAACTTCTACGATTTTAAGACAAATGACAAAACCCATTTCTGTTAATAAATTGTGATTCATTTCGTTCATTCAGTATTATAGATACAATGAATAAACGTTGATTCTTTAAAAAGAAACCATAAGCCCGGAGTGCGAATGGAATGTTTTTCATGAATCAACGCTTATCCATTGTATCTATAACTTAAACTATTTTGTTGATGTCTTTTCAAAATTAAAGCCTTTTCTTAATTAGAATGTATTGTAAGTGAGTTTAAATAACCATGCTATCAAGACCAACGATCGATGCATTAATAAATCTAAGTTCACAGTTAATTGGTTAGAGAAATACAAATATAACATAACACTTCTGTCTTTAAATTATCAGACATCTGAATATTATCCGTAATTTACAAAATAAGACATATTCGAACTTATTTCTAAGTATATATAATAATTATGTTACCGAAATTTCTAGCAAGAAGCCTAATTCTAGGCACATCACGATTTACTCGCATACCGGGGATTTGCGAATAAACATTTGTAAACGTATGTAGTAAAACAGAAGCAATCATACTATATTTATAAAACAAAAATGGACAAGTTGAATGTAATCATTTTCTTTTCAAATGTGTGAAATAGCCATTAATAATAAAAAAAAATAAACGGGAAAACTTGCTATTGTTACACAAATATCCACAATAACATACAAAAATAAGAAAAACGGAAAAACTAAAGAAAAGGGACAACAAAGAGAATACAGGGATTCGAACCTTAACCGACAAGTCGCTACCTTTAACTTGATTCTTATAACTCATTGATTTTAACCATGCTAACCTCGCGGCTACCAACTTACGCTTTACGATTGCTTAGTATGTATATATAAAGGTACAAGCCCTGGGTGTCCGTTGTACCGATGTGTATCATATGTTCATTTATATATATAAAATAGACATGTAAACTACAACCCATTGGTAGTCGAGAGGTTTCGTCGATATGTTGATGTCATTCACACATAACAGATTTCAAGGAGGGGTTCGATTCCCAGTGAAGGCATATACAAATTACAAAAATCAAAGGTAAGTTTTTAAATTAATTTCATTAGTGAACAGAAATCAGCAAATTAGCCAATTCAAACTTAATAAGATAAGGCACACAAAGGAAACAATTGAATATTATTTGGTGAGTCCATTTCAGCGACAGATTTAGGAAGCGTTGAAAAAGAATCCACGGTAAATGAATAGGCTGACGTCACGACGATGGTTTAACATTTGAGTCTATATTTTATTGAAACCGACACATGGCTAATTATCTATAGATGTATTTATAAACCGGATGTTGTGTCTGTAATTAGATATTCTTTTGTCTACAAAACACATCATGATAGCAAGTTGATGTTGTTATTCTGCCTGAAACAATTCTTGTGTTAATGAGCCTTTCTGTCCGATAATACCCTCAAATAACCTGGTGGCAGCGGTGAGCAACGTCTGAAACGTTATAAAACTGACATTTATGGTAAACATTTTGCGTAAGTGGTCCTTAAAGCACCATCACAAAATAACAATTTTCCACGTGGTCGAAAGACGCTGAATCAGCAATGATAGAGGCTTTAACAAATACTGACGTCTACCCCCACAATTAAATGTCACAGAAAAAAATGTGTCTGAAAACTTTAAGAAATGGAAACGGCACGTTGAAATATCTCTTGTGGCTAGCGGAGCTGTTAAAAAGGACAGTGTAGTCCAAGTAGCAATAATTTTGAATTGTACCGGTCCCAACATTGTAGACATATTTGACCAACTTCAATGGACAGATGAGGTGATCAAAGGAAACCCGACAAACTTTTCGAAAAACTAGAGGCCTACTGCAATCCAAGAAAAAATGAAGTTCTAGAGTCCCATATATTTTGGATGGTACCATATCAAGACCCTTTGACAATTTCTTAACTGAATTGAGAACTAGGGCAAATTCGTACAATTTCCAAGACAAAGATCGTATGATCGTATAACGGAATTTGATGCGACTGTCATACAAGTGAGAGGTTTAGCGCTATAAAACCAGATTCAATCCACCATTTTCTACATTTGAAAATGCCTGTACCAAGTCAGGAATGGACAGTTGTTGTCCATTCGTTTGATGTGTTTTATCATTTGATTTTGCCATTTGATTAGGGACTTTCCGTTTTGAATTTTCTTCGGAGTTCAGTATTTTTGTGATTTTACTTTTTATGATATGTGACAAAATTATCTTCAGTGTCAAGGGCAAACTGCAGGAACTTTTATTAAGAGAGGACAAGACTAACTTAGACAAAGCAATCAAAATTTGCAGAGCTGATAAACAGTCAAATAAACATGTTAAGGAGTTTAGAGAATCTACATATTCGACTCACAGAGTCAATAAAGTTACACACCATAATAAAAAGAAAACTTACCAACCTGAAACTAAAAGACCTACTCAATCACAGAGTAAAACTCCTTACAATACACAAAATAACAACAAAGAATGTAATTTAAGTCGCTACAAACATGAAAGAAAAAAGAAATAATGTCCAGCATGAGGAAAAACATGCGATGCTTGCAAAGGTTGAAACCATTTTAAAGCTAAATGCAAGGAAATACACTCAATTAGCTCAACACAAAGTGACCAGGAAGAAGATAACTGCTGGTTGAATGCTATCACAGGAGGCCATTCATCTGATAATGTAATTCAGGCAATAGGTGCAGCATCTAAAACATTTCAGCTTTGGTGAATGTAAATGATTACAATGTAAGAATTCAATTAGATAGCTTAGCCGATGTAAATACGATCTGTAAACGATATATCCGTAGAGAACAAGTAAAACCAAGCTCAATCACACTACGTATGTGGAACAAATCACCTTTGAAACCGACAGGAGAGGTACATTTGAAATTGATAAATCCGAAAAATGGCGATGAAACCATGGCAACTTTTGTTGTTGTTTCTAATGGAAATATGAATTTACTAGGCCTGGATACAATCCGTAGAATGGGATTAATTACTGTCAATGATGACCATTTCATTACAAAAGTTGAAACCCAGAAAATTGGAGATATAGGGAAGATAACTCTGAATGTTGATGAGAATTTACCTGCAAAAACATTACCGAGTAGGAAACTGCTGCTCTCTCTACAACATGATGTTAAAAAGGAAATCGACAAATTAGTTGAGAGACAAGTTTTGATCCCAGGGACCGAACCGTCTAAATGGGTTTGTCAAATGGCAGTCGTAAGAAAACCGAATGGAAAACTGAGAATTTGCAAACTTGACAAAGAGTCTAGTGATTTAACAACAATGATAACACCATTTGGGCGATACCGTTGGGCGAGACTTCCATTTAGTCTTAAAGTTTCAAGTGAAATTTTTCAACGTAAGCTCACAGAAGCTCTGGGAGATATAGAAGGAGTATTCACAATAGCAGACGATATCATTGTTACAGGTTGTGGTCGTATGGACGAGGAAGCACAAACAGACAATGACCGAAAACTCATAAAGTTGTTTCAACGGCGTAATGACCATAACATTCTTCTTAATGAGGAAAAGAAAGAAGTTGGGTTAACCGAGATCACGTTTCATGGTCACCGTATTACAAGAGAAGGGGTAAAAGTTGACCATGCAAAAGTAAAAGCGA